GTCAGCATGTTTTCTACATGTTTGATGATCACCTTTCTGTTAATAACAACTTTTATCACAATGGTAGTAACTGAACCAAATATAATAAAGGCTCCATGTATAAAGGGTTATAAGAGAGTTGGTAACCAATGCCGCAAGGTCTTCGGACAATAGAAGGTTAACGTATGTATATTCTGGTAGATACTTTTTATGTGTTCCTTTTCTAACAATAATCTTTTCTGATCTTGTTAATATAACTTTCAATAACACGTCCGACAATGAGTGTTACATCTTAATGGTACATCAAGTAAATATCACCAGCGAAGTATATCTCAAACTTGAATCAGATATTCCAGTTATGTCTGACTCAAGTTAGTAGCAATCTATGTCTATACAATGTCTATTCGCAATCAGATATCTGACGTTTAGATACCTCCAGATCCTTTTGATAAATTTTACTATATTTTACTATTAATTTTGTCGATTTTAGAAAATGTAATATTATACAATATTCAACGACAAATATGTACATGTAAATATTTGATTTGTAAAATTTTAATTCAATTTGTTAACTTACTGGCATATATCTGCTACTGTAAAACATTTCAATAAGTTCTATGGTAAATTATTTCCGAAATAGACAAAAACTTTAACATGATAATAATACGACAGTAAGTATCAATGGTATTAATATCAAATTTCAATTTGCAGTTACAGAAGTGGGAATGTGGTTGCTGTTTGCATTTCGAAAGCAATACAAATGAGTACAAACGCACATTGTAAATGAGCAAGCAGAAATACTATCGTAAAAGAGTAATTTCTGAGCTTTGATTATTAAAATGTACAGCTTCACAAATAAAGTATAAAGGAACATGTCTCTTGTTGTTTTTACCTCAATCTTACCACCTTGCTCTTACGTTGAAACTTTTCAAGAAGAACCTGCTAACCATAAGTTACATAGAAGTGTTAATGTGACGTGAAAATAAGATTGTGACATAAGATGAGATCTTCACAATGATACATTAAATCTCCTGGAAATTTTTTCTTTTTATATAAAATGTAATAGTAAACAAAAAATAAGAAACTAACTTGAAAATAACTTAAGGAAAGAACTGATTGATTAGCTGTAAAAGTAGATTTCAACGAAATAATGAATATTTCAGATTTGATTAGAAAATAATAACGTGCAGTCTTAAAAGATACAATAAAAATTTTAATTTTACAACATAACTTTTATAATATGTATCTCACGTTTATCGCATGTATTCGTCGTTGTACCATTATTAACAAAGCGAAAGGAACTCATCAAAATCATCAAATTCATCAAAAGGAAATTCAAATATATATATTTTTTAATTAACAAATGTTTATTACGTGAATTAACAAATATTTGTTTGACAGCCGTGACTGCAGCATATACTTGAATCACGAAATATTTTCTTGATCTTCTCTCAATAGTTTGTTTTTCTCAGTGTGACACTTTAAGCCTTTTGTTTTATTTTTATATAAAAGTAATAATAACAATAATAAAAGTAACGCATAAAGAGTCGAGCATATCACTGAAGGTTTAACGAATGCAGTAAAAAATATCGTGTTTCATGTTTTTCACGAGGAAACTGTAACACAGACACTTCACATAAAGAAATTATGATTTTTATTATTTGCAACATAATTTTTATTGCACGTACACGTGGCGAATTTATCATACATATTTGTCGTCGACTAAAGTTCTTTTTATTACTGTAAGATATGAAAAATGCACTTTCGCATATTATAAGGTGATTTTTATAAAGTGGCCAACTTAATTATTAGTGAAATTGGAAGATATATGAAAAAAGAGTTTATATTAACGTGTTCAAGGGACATCATGTGGTGGAAACGATTATTTGCAAAATGGAGGCGTTGAGGATATTTCAAAGTCAACTACATTTTTTAAATAAAATGTAATATTTTGTGTTTTATAATATGATATTATACATGTATAAAATACATATACATGTATAATGTTTTAAAACTTTTATGCGGAGCAGAAGACCTTAAAGACCTTATTTACTTGTATAAATAAAAAGCAAGAGACTCCTATTAATGTGTATAATTATTCTTTAGAGGAGAACAAACAGTTAATTTGACTAACTGTGAACTGTATAATCAAAATCATCTTTTTCTTTTTAATATCTATTTAATATTATAGCGTAGCATATTTCAGTTGACATATACACGCGGATTTGTAGCAAGGAAAGGATTAAAGCTATTAACGTCGCTATTAGTGACAGCGCGACGCGACATCCCGGAGCGATTACGTATCCTGTGACCGCTGCACAAATCGTGTCGAAAAGCGGATGTCGAATGTCGCCATGCGCGTCGCGCGCAGTTATATAAAGCGAAGTGCCGCGGCATTCTCGAGTACACACAAACGCGTGTACTCGAGTAACGTAACAGAGATAACATCCCCGAAGGCACGTTCGCTTTATCCGCCACAGGATACGCATCGCTTTGTGTGTCGCGCTCCACCCCGTCGTCGGCGAGTCACGGATGCGGAACAATATGTACAATGGCAACATTGTTGAAAGTTAACCGCGCGATAGCAAATGAATCCCACTATACGCGCATCGGGAATCCTTCCGAGAGAGTGAGATAGAACGCAGACGGACGGATAAGGGGGGCGGGGGGGACGAAGAGCGAAACGAGGGCGGGATTGATTTAAATTTCGACCGCAAAAGTGGCTGGAGACGGGGACGAACTGTGGGAATGAGATAGCGCGATTTAATTGCGTTTGCGAACTATTTTCACCTCACCCCCAATCAGTCAATTATCCCCGTCCGAATTGGAGCTCGAGAATTTTCAACGGTCACGGTGTGATGGGCGGCTATTTTTCCCTCCCTAGACAGACGGCAATTTCAAATTGAAAATAGTAAATGTCAGTTACGGTACGGTATAAATGTACATATATACATATATATAAAAAGCGCTCAGTGTCGTTGCCGAATTTGGCCGATAACCGAGATAGAAATAGTGAGCGGTAATTTTACGAAAGTCATATGGCGAGTTTACAGCTCCAGAGTGTTCGAGAAAAGAACACGTCAACATTTCGCGATTTAGCCGTAGGAGCTCCAGAATGTTAAAGTATAGAATCACCTATTGCCCTAATTAGTGAGTTGGAATAATGACAGAAAATAAAATTCTAGATTATTAAAGGGTTTATAGAAGAGCAATGTTACTATATATTTTATAGGCATTCGAAGCTGTAAATCGTCAAGGATATTCAATGCTTCTTAATAAACATATTTCGTACGTTCTATATTACATTTTTATTTTTACACTTACCACTTTCGGCGTGTGCGGAACGTAGGAATTTTTTTTAATACAACAGGTGCATCGTACTTTTATCCAGAGCGTTTCAACCGTTTTGAAATTTTTGTCATATTTTGCGAAAAAAAATATGTAACAAAACAAATTAATACGATAAAACAAACACAATCGCCTTTATAAAGGTCGGGAAAGCGATGAAACATAACGCAAGCGTTAAAGCGGGATTTGATGTGTCACGGCATTGAGTTATGGTTGCGGGTAAAGGGTAAAAAATGCGAATGAACGGAGGGGTGGGGGGATATTTGAGAAATACCGTACGCCGCAGGATGTACGAGCCGCAGAGATAGCGCGGATCGATCGGCCACTTCATTAATGGATAAAGTGTTATGGCGGTAATCCCCTTGCCGTGTAGTATCCAGTTGGAACGCGAGCCAAAACCTCCCGCGTGATAATTATGTAATATCGCGCGGTTGCGCGAGTTGTGCGCCCGCATTGCGCACGTAACGTGGCCGTAACACTTTGCAATTGCAGTTACACGGATCACTTTGGCATTACTGCAGATAGCGCCCCTCATTACAGACAACACGGACTATCAGCTTTAAGAGCGCACCGCGATTTCTTCTTTGTGTCGCAGCTGAACCGTAGAAGAATACCGCAATTTCGTGAGAACACGATATTATTATAATAGATAATATCGCGCTTTATAGGAAATTAAACATTCAACAGAATTTTTTCGCCTATCCACACCACGGAATCTACGGTGACAATCACGGAAAGTTGAAATTAAATGTTATTCCGCATAACGAATGGACAAAGTGAAATAAATAATTAACACGTTGCCTGTCCGTTTCATCGTGTACGCTACAATAAAATTTTCATCGCTATAAAAACTGACAAATAATGCGATTAAATAAAAATATCTTTATAATAGGATGCCAACCCACTTTTCCCTTTACGCTGTTATTTATATCATTCAAAATGTTGTATTAGATGGCACTTATTTTTCACAAGTGAAAAAGTGAATTATTAAAAATTTTTGTGCATTGTAACATACACAAAAATTTTCAATAATTGGAACACTATTGCAACAGCATATTTCTGAGACCAAATCAAGTAAACAAGTCCTGTACTACTTTTTCCTCCGACAAACAGTTATCGAGATACCATAAGCTAAACACTGAAAAAGTTATGAATTTTCTCTTGAATATTTCAAAAAGTATTGGGCAAATCAAAAAATGTTTCAGACAAAAGTTGTTCATATTAATTAGCAGAATAAGATAGTATAATAAACAATAGGGTGTTCCATTTACAAAAATTGAAGGTTACCTTCACATGACCTTCAAATAACTCTTCAAGATCGAACCAATGGTACCATCTTATGCTCCCCTTGAAACCATACAACTTTTGTCTGAAACAGTTTTGTTTGCTGGGCTTAGTTTTTGAGATATTTTACTGTCCAAGTTAAAATGGGACACCCTTTATAAATACACATTCTTTTTGTATTATACGCTAATGAAAATGACGATTTTCTTCTATATACTATTGTTTAATTAATATTTAATTAACACTTGATTTACTATATTTTAACTATTAGAAAATCCTCCTGGTTGTCACTTTGTAGAAAGGATATGATGGAAAACAATTTTTAATGGATCACCTTAATGGTGGACCTTTACGCAATACCACCGAGAAGTGTAATGTTACTGACGCTGCGCATTGTCGTCGCGTGAGTAAGATTTTGACAAGAAGGAACTTGCGCATCGTCGCAGCTTAAGTTCCAAGAATAAATGAGCGCGCGTAAAATATGGAAGTTGTAGCAAATATGTGAGGACTTGATCGTCACGGGACGGTAGTACATTTATCTGATAAAGAGGATCATCAGTCATCGCGCGGTTGCATAAATCATCGGAAAGTTGGCGGCGGAGCGATTTGTAATGTCGGGAGCGGGATATCCCGTATTTTACGCCCATGCTATATTATTTCCGGGGGGCGAAGAGGGCACGGAGATTCCGGGAAACGGTGCTTCATCACGTGAACGATAATTACTTGATATCAATCTGGAGCGGCGCCATTAAGTAGTCTAGTGCTATCGGAAAGCCGAACGCGTATTATTGTCCGGCCGCGATTTTTTTGCGGTGATAATGAATTTCCAGCTAGAAGTTACCGTGACTACCATTCGTTTCCTGGAACATCATTTGCTTCAAACGGAACATTTGTTCCAAGCGACGCTTTTGCTCCCGTCGTGTTTGAACGTTGCTTCAATCCCGCGGTGGCGAGATAAAAGTTAAGAATATCACCAATCTTACAGTTCTGTGTGCTGCATGTGATAAAATAAAGAAGACAAAGCGAAAGTACACACGGAAGATAATTTTTAAGTCTCAAAGGATGCACGCGTATTTTCTTTCGGAATTTCTAATATTCCTCGGCACAGAAAGAAAGAAGTTATATAAGGAAACATCACAAAAGAATATTTTTATAAATACAGACAAGAATTGCTACTCTCTTAGGGTTACGCGCAACTAATAATTTATAAGACAAAAATTATTTTTGCACTGTAACAAACATTGAATTATCATCAGCGAAATGCAGTAATCAATTAATTTATTTATGTGTTTTTTTAAATAAGGGCAGAGTTAAATACGTTTTCTAATTATTGCAGTATTTCACATAAATTAAACTATTTACAAATACAAATATGTATTCTAGACAAAACTTGTAAATTTAATTACCGAATGATTTAATTATCCTTGATTATAGTAGAAAAGGATAGGAAGATAAAAGCTTGCATCACAAGCAGCCAGGTCGTATGTTACAAATACATATTACCATGATCATTTACAGCAACGCGATTCGCAATCGCGACCATTTCGATGTTATCGCCGAAGAAAATAGACGCGTTCCATCTTGCTTAGACCTCACTCTGAAGGAACTTCCGCGCTCTCAATCGTCGTAACGAGAGAATGATACTGTTCATCGCTTCTGGATGCACATATTCTTCGAATCGCTCCCGAACATACGTGCGTCACAGTATACAACTATCGATCTTGTATAGCGTCTGTATTTGAGTTTCCCTCTGAAGCTTCGGATACCGCGACACGTACATCACTTAGCTCGCCTTGAAGAAAAGGAAAGGATAGCGTGACAAGCGGTGTTCCGTAGTGATGTACGCTAAGCAATATGTTTTTCAAAAGAGACACCGGCAGAAGAGAGAATGTGATGGAGTAAAAAAATAGATAGCAGTGACAAAAAAAAGTTCGTTGTTAGCATTGCCATTTTCCTGCAACACGACCATGAAATTTTACATAAAAGATCAATGTTGTCTTTATTATCAAATGATTTTCCCTCTGCTTCTAATTTTTGTTAATATGTCGCGGTAATCGTTCGCGCAATTTTATTAATTTTATCCGATAATTGTAAGAGAGCTCGCGAATTAAAGGGGTCCAATATGTCTCTAAATCGTTCTAGTTTAACCACGTCACGCGCGAATTTCTGCCACTTCATCCGCAATTGATCGCCATACGCGAGAACGAAAAGAGAAAATAACGATGACGCACGAGTTCGCCCTCTCTTCTTCATTCTTCTCATTTCCCGTATGGCATGCCACGAGATATCGAGCCGAATCACGAGTAGTAACCATTCAAGGAGGTAAGCTTTATATACGATCAAACACGGTAGCAATTTATTCCCTTCCACCACCGCCGTTCTCCACATCCTTTCGAATGGGACTTCTCTCCAAAGGGGAAAGCTCATTCGGGCAAAACAACAAATCGCATACACCGTAAATATGTGGAACGTATTAAATTCATCGTACGGTATTTATACGAAGTGCTCGCACATAGCTAGGATATTACAATAGCATCTTCTTTTGGAAGAAGCGAAAAAAGTATAATTGAAAACTTACAATTGAATAGTAATTTAATGAAAATAAAATAATGAGGGGTTTATTTCTGTTACAACATCCATTTCCGGAACCATTCACACTCAATTCAAATAAACTGAAGTTCGATATTGAGTTTTCATTCTTCGTAACAGTAACAGATTTTAGACAAGATAAAAATAAACATTACAATCGACGATTTATCTTGCTTTTTACTGATTTCTTCATATACGTTTCATGCATTTGCAATTGTATATTACATATTGTACAATTTAGCATCTATAATTACTGTTATATTTATTACTTTTATACACATCAATTCATTAATATTGTTAATATAAATAAACAGATGTTAATATATTTATGTAATTTACTAAAATAATAATACATGATACAATTACATCGTATCATATATGTATGGTACAAAATTTTATCTGATAACATATATAAAATAAATAATTAAAAAATCCTAATATGATAATATTATATCTTCAATAATCAAATAACATAAAATAAGTGAATACCAAAAAGAGAAATGCCAACAGTACACGGTGTTCCCAAACGGTCACCCATTTAAGTACTAACCGCGCTCAACGTTGCTTGACTGAAGTGATCGGACGAGAACTTGTACGTGAAACGTGATTTGACCGTTGACGAAAGTGTCTTTCTAATACAGAAATTTACCGAGAAGTTTCTTCATCAACGTCTATATTACTATATTACTATATATTACATTACTATATTTTTCAACAAATATATTTAAATAAATATTACTTTATTAGTAATTTTATGGAACGTATGTATTAACTTAATTTATTTAAACAATTATATGAATTATATATGCATATACATATAATGATAATCATTTTAATTAATTTTATAATAGACAACAGTGTTCTCGTAAAGAAATTTAAAACTATTAAAAAAATAAAGCCTCTCAACAATTAAGGAGAGTCCACCCAAATGAGAAACAACATTTATATTGTACCTATACTGAATCATAATCATCCTCTCACATTTTAGAGTTGCAAATCATTACAATATTTGTTCAAGGTGTATACAAGACAAAAGATAGAGCATCTTAAAGAATTCACTACGTCTCTGTTTTTCATAACTCACCAATTTTTTATGTATTAGTAATTAGATATTTCGACAACTAGACGCTCTGCATTTTTTAAGAATCTCAAGTTTGTTAAAGAAGTCGTTTGTCATCACTTGTATTCTAATAGCACCCATCTTATATTACAAACAACGGTTTATCAACACTTTTGGTGAGGTAAAGTCAACGTTCGGCCTCGTCGTAAACGTTCGCCCGAAATATTTAGCATAGATTCTTTGTACGCTCTACATTATGCGTATTTAACATCCTGCATCGTTCCGCTTCCGTATACGAGTTTGCAATTTAATTAAACGCCAGTCACGTATAAGCAGACGAAACCGGTTCGTCCGACACTTTTCTCTTTACAGAGAGACACAACTTTTTCCCCATCCACGGGATCCGAATACCATATTGCACCCTATTGGGCTTACGCCCTACAGGGAGGAGAAGCATTTAAAAAACGGCAAGGCAGTAGCGGTCGTCGTTGTTTGTTGGCCTTTGACCTGACGTGTGTGGCCAGCTAGACGAACCGTTGCTCGTTGCAAGCGTCGCAGATCCTATATGCGCCTGTTGGTGGCAATTTCAGTTCTGTTTTGAATTTAGATGGAATTTAGGCAAGCTGTTACGGCACGTCCGGTCGTTTTCTCCATTACATCACCATACATTCGTATGTATGCCTCATGACTGCTTGTACGCGATATATATGTATGTGTATAGTTACCATTTTTTATAGATTATAGAATAAAAATTTGGTAACGTTAAATGTGCCAGTTTTTTTAAGGAAGACTTTCGTCAAACCATGTAAACGTACATTGATCTCATTCATCTTTTACAAAGATACAAATTATATAAAATTATAACTGCGTCTTGCGAATGCCTAACAGACCGTAGAGTACAATCCTATGATAACGTCGATTGCTGATTTATTGTAATATAAAAACTCTTGATATTGTTTATAATTCTTAATAAATAACTTTAAAAAAACCACTAAACGTACAAGTTCTTGTCCGATCACTTAAGCTAGTCAACATTGGGCGCGACTGTACTTAAATGGGTGACAGTTTGGGAACACCATGTATGTACTACTGTTAACATTGCTTTCTTTTGATTATTTTATGCGTTCTTATACTTCTTTTACCGTTATAGTACCGATGTTTATTATATGAATAAAATTAATTGAAATAATTATCATTATATGTATATTATATACGTATATGTAATTTATAATATATGTATAAGTGTATGTATTAGTTTAAGAAATTATGTTAATACATTTGCTCATTAAAATTAATAATAAATTAATATATTTAAATTACATATCTATCACGAGACACGGTAGTGTCTCGCGCCAAGTATAAGCGACTAACAATAAGTATAAGCGTTTAAAAGTACAAGAAGAATCTTGTGTGTGCTCGGTAAAACCTCTGTATCAGAAAGATCCTTTCGTCAACGGTCAAATCACGTTTCACTGTACAAGTTCTCGTCCGATCACTTAAGTCAAGCAACGTTGAGCGCGGTCAGTACTTAAATGGGTGACCGTTTGGGAACACCGTGTACTGTTGGCATCTTTTTGCTTCCTCATAAAGGAAGTTGTGAAGAATTTTGTTTCTTTTTTAGTTTCCTTTGCCAATGTGTTCAACATTTTTTAAGATGTCCAAAAACACTTTTTAATGCCGATGTGTAAGAATGTGTGTACATATATACTTACATACATTTTGCTGTATGTATATACGTTCAAAAAATGTGCACTTTCTATTTAACTTTTCTGGTATGTAAAAACCAAAAGGAGCACTTTAGTATAAATATATCATGATTAATATTATATCGTATCCTAATTATCATATGTTTATTGTCAATAAAATAACTGTATCATGTCAAAGATACATTTACTTGTATAACATTTAAAATCACGGGGCAATTATGTATAGAATAGTCGCTACAACTTCAACCTTTGCAAAATTAGACATTTCGGACTGATTTTATTTATATTAATAAAAAGTATTATTAAATGATGGTTGGTGTTAATTTTGGTGGCCATTGACGTAAAGGTTCATTGGCTTCAAAATTTTTTATTTTGTAAAAAATATATGTTAACATTCCAACTTCTCTAAATTTTGAAATATTTACACTAAATTTTTTAACATGAATAGAAGGTAGGGGTCATTTTTTAAAGGATTGTTGATATTTAATTTGGTGGTAATCGGTGAACGTCTCTGCTCCTATGTCATTAAAAACAAAGGGTATAAATTTCCGATTTGCTTAAAAATGTAATATATTTGAAATGGTTTTAAATCTATTTCACATTGTTCTTATAATTCGTCTGTTTGTGTAACATTTATATATATATATCTCTATTTATTTTCAGCAAATAAATAATTTCTGTCACAAAAACCGTGGTATCTTAGACTTAAAAATCCAAAAAATCGTTATAAAGAGTGTAACTTTTATTTGGAGAGAGTAATTTTACATAGAGAAATTGTAACTTGTCAAATTTTATCGACTTTTCACAAATTTTTTTCTCTTTATTCACGCATTATCTACTTATACTTAACGCAACTGATTTAGTATACTATAATTTATTTTTGGAATACTTTTCGATTATATATTACATTTGCACACATAAAATTACATTTACTGTTGTCATTATAAACCTTGAAGAAATTGTGATAAATTTGTTATGAATATGTATAATGGCTTACCTTAATCTGGTATGTAAAAATCAAATGTCGCAGTTTAGTATAAATATAGCATGATTAATACATATATATCATATCCTAACTATCATATAATATATTCATTGATAAAATGAATATATCATATCAAAGATACAGTTACTTTTCCTCGAGGAGTTGGTCACTAGCGGTTAGGTTACAGTGTACAAAAATTACCCTTAATTTACCTCAGAGATTACGTAATACTTCCTCAAATTACTCACAGATAATCCAATACTATCTCATATTACTCAAGATTACCTTAGAATATTTAAAATTACCCCGGATATATTGGATTACCCAAGATTTCGTTTGGATTGCCGCTCAATTACCTAGCCCTTGCACAAAGAGTATCTCAGTGACCAACCCCTTGCTTTTCCTTTATAATATTTAAAATCAGTATCACGTAGCAATTATATACAGAATACTCGCTGCATCGATCATCGCCATTTTCTTCTAAGATTGAAAAATAATAGCCCTTATATTTTACTGCAAAATGAGGAAAAGAGATATTTAAATTTGGCAAACATAAAAATTATAGTAAAATGCATTTTAAGTTTATCAAGTTTAAATGTCAAAAATTATTGCTAGGTAAAATTCAGTTTTCTTCACAATTTCTCTTGTTACACAATTAAGCAAGGATAGTTATCATAATATATAAATAAATCTTGTATACCATACTTATGGGATCGAACTAAATAATGACATATCTATGTATGAACTAAAGTTTCAAAGGCAGATTGATTTGAAAACAATGTCAATAGTGAAAAATTATTGAATAGCCAATAATTAACATCCCCAATGTATTCACAACTGTGTCGCAAAATGTTTCTAAAAGAATTGTATAACATTTCAGCAAACTGATGACTACTTTATGTACTGCATATATCTATGAACATGATACTACTGCAGCGAGGCATAGAGTACCCAAATGTTAACCTCAATAGTAACCCCAATAGTGAAATAAAGAACTAAAATTCAAAATAAGACTCAGCGGTCGAAATTTAAATATAATATTTAATTAGACTTAATCGCAAAGTAAAGAGTGTAATATCTGAAATCAATCTTAATACTAATCTTTTGTCTGTACAGTACGTTGTAAATGTAATCAATTATTCGCATATTTATCCGAAGAACAAGTTATGCACTGATCTTTTATCGAGATACATGTATCTAAATAGATGTACGATAATATTTGCCATTCAATATTTATCGATGAGCTCACTAATTATAAAAATTAACAACACATTAAAAGTTTACACTAATAAAGCAGTGTTTCACTGCTATGATAGAGTTACACGTACACGCCATTCTTGGCTGTACTTCAATAAGATTCTGCTATACAATAAATCCTCGATTTAACGGATTAATAGGGGGCAAGAGATGTTCATTAACGCCATAAGTCCGTTATATCAAATTATTTAATAAATAACGCAAATTTATTCAGAAATCACAGAAACACTCTGTATACAATCTGACCACACGATATTTTGAGGCAGATTGAGACCGAAACAAAGCAAGTCTGCCCCACGCTACTAAAGACAAATGCGATAAAAAAGGAGCACTGTGCAATGCGGCGTTTATATAATGTGTTATTACTTATCCGTTAAATTAAAAATCTGTTATATCGAGGGTTTACAGTAGGATATTATAATATAATTGAAATCATTTGATTAAATATTTAAATTATGTGAATTACGTTCGCAAGACGCATCACAATACTTTTTAATTATCATCAGCGTCGTCATCATCGTCTGATATATATTTTTTAGTAACTCTCTTTCTACGACCGCCTCTGCCCTCACCCTTTCTTCCTTTTAGTTTAATTTTCATTCTTACGCTAGAATCCGCGTCTGAACCGTCTTCGCCATCTGTGTAATAAAAAAGAAAGAAAAAAAAGAAGCGTTACGAGAAAAAAATTCCATCTTATTTAAATTTTAACGTTTGAATAATTACGATGATAGATTATATTTATACCTTTGTCGTCTCCATCGGAATTATTGCCTTCCTCTTCAAGACGTTGACGCGCATTTGTAAAGACGGATTGTAACACTATCGAGTCTTCATGAATTAGGGATGCCTCTTCATTATAAATTTGAGCGTTTTTACAAAGTTGCATAAAATCTTTCTCAAGCTCGTCTAAATCAGCATACTGAAAGAAATAAAATTACTGAATTATATAAGTGCATGTGTATACAACAAACGTAAAAAAGGATGCGATAGATAAATACTTACTTTGCCCTCTTCAATTTTTTGTAACAGCTTATTGATAGTCAAAGGTTTCTTAATGATCTCGTAATAGTCTGGTAATTCTCTTCGTGAAGGTAATTTCATAAAAGGCTCGCTCAATAATCGACCGTCACTACTATCGGTATAATTAACAACTACTGTAATTAATTTCTTCATAGCCCGTTTCATTTTAGGATCGACCAAAGACCCGGCACCTCTTCGTTTCTTCGGCATAGGCTCGTCGTCTTCCTCGCCTTTCTTCTTTCGTTTCCGTGTCTTTTTCTTTTTCTTATCCTCTTCTTCCTCCTCCTCATACTCAGCGCCATCATCATCAATTGCCTTCAACCACTCTTTCTCGGTTAAACTATCTGTATAATCAACCTCTTTACGTTGCCTTGAACCTCTTCCAAGGAATCTGTCTTCATCCTCTTCGTAGGTCCATCTTTCTACTTCATCGTCGTCTTTAACCAGCCAATCGGGCAACTCAGCTTCCTCTAACAATCGCGATTTGCGATTTGGACCCAACTTGGCTTCCTCACGTCGCCGCTCCAAATCTAATTTCTGGAATGTTTCGAATTCACCTTCTGTCCTAGCAATCATTTGATTTACAGTCTCGTCGTCGGGCACTTCATTCTCTTCCTCATCATCAGCGTCATCTTGATGTAAAATACTTTGGAGGAACTGCTGTCGCTCGGAGCCAGTGGACTTCTGATCAAACATACCAGCCTGAATTACTTTCTCGTCCATATTTAATTTATATCTGGCTGCCGCTAATATCCGCTCTTCGACGGAATTAACAGTCATTAATCGGAGTACGCGCACTTCATTCTTCTGTCCAATTCTGTGTGCTCTGTCTTGAGCTTGAAGATCCTGCAAATACATATATCATTATTAAGTGCAATACTACGTTAATTGTTATATTCTATATGTTAATATCATGTACCTGATGAGGATTCCAGTCGGAGTCAAAGATGATAACTGTATCAGCGGCTTGAAGATTTAAACCAAGACCACCAGCACGCGTGGATAGCAAGAAAAGGAAATATTCTGAACCAGGATCGTTAAATTTCTTTAACAGATCTCCTCTATCTTCTGCTTTTGTTGTACCGTCCAATCGTAGATACATAAATCCACGCCAACTTAAATAATCTTCCATAATTGTCATTAACTGAGTCATTTGGCAAAACAATAATACTCTATGATTCGTAGCTTTCAATTTAGGGAGAATACGATCGAGAAGTTCGAATTTTCCAGACGCACGAAATAGGTCGGGTCTAATAACAAATAAGAACTGGATTAATATTTCATATTTCATATCAAACGCTCAAAAATTGTCGAAATACATACCCAGTAATAACACCAGAACCTTGTGTGCCTACATGTTCACAGTATTTTTCTTCTATAGCTTGGAACATAAATGGATGATTGCATAGTTTTCTCAGTTGCACAATCGTATTCATAAGAGCTTTAGCACCGCCTTTTCCTTGCTTTCCTTTTTCAGATCCATCGGTTAATAGTACACCTTTACTTTGCATATGCCTAACAAAACATTTTTGTTTATGTATTACACCAATTAATTTCACAAAGAAATTAAGAACAGATAATATTTACGTACTTATAAAGAACTTTTTGTAGGCCAGACATATCGCATTTGATAATGTATTCCACTTTGTCAGGTAACTGCGATTCTACTTCTTTCTTCAAGCGTCTCAATAGGAAAGGCCGCAATACTTTGTGCAAACGACGAATAATCAAAATAGTTTCTTCTTCATTTAGCTCCACCTAGACAAAATAATAACGTTAAAATACGCTGTATTAAAATGTGTTTTATGCCAAATACTTGCCTTCTCGCCAGTCGTCGCAAAAGGTGCATTAAACCACTGTTCAAATGTACTGCAGGATTTGAAGATTGAAGGCAACAAGAAATTCAGAAGAGCCCACAGTTCTGGCAACTTATTTTGCAACGGTGTACCGGTTAACAATAACCGATGCGGAGCTAAATAATGTGTATTCAACACTTGAGTAAGTTTGCAATGATGGTTTTTCATTCTGTGTCCTTCATCAATGATCATATATTTCCACTGCAGTTTGGCTAATACACCCTTGTCTTTTATAACATATTCATAAGTCGTTAAAAGAACATTGAATTTTGTAGCTCGCATCTGAGATTGTATTGCTCTTCTGCCAGCTGGAGAACCTTTGTATGATACTACGACAACACTTGGTGCCCATTTTTCAAATTCAAGAACCCAATTTGATAATGTCCTAGAAGTACATTAAAATTATTATTTGAAGAAATCATTTGCAGTGTCTTTGACTGTTTTTGAAAGAACTTACGAAAGGAACTTACGATAATGGAACAATGATGAGAAATGGACCGTTAACTTTCTTCTTTTCCATAAGATATGTTACTAGAGCAATAGTCTGAATTGTTTTACCGAGACCCATTTCGTCTGCCAAAATACCATTCAAATTGTTGTTAAACAATGATACTAGCCATTCAAGACCCTGGAACCATTCATTAAGCTCTTTTATTCACAGAGAAATGATTTACATAAAATATATTGTAAAACAATTTAAAACATACTATAAAACTAAAATTATATACTAAAATAAATACATTACCTTAATTTGATATTCTTTTAAGTTTCCATTCACCATAATACTCGCTTGTTCAGTAACAACCTCATGAACCGTATGAGCAATACTATAGTATGTTTGCTCTTCCGTTTTATATTCATCATCTTCCACTTTCGCTTTATGTATCGTTTTCTTTGCCCTATCTTCTTCAGAATCACCCATTGCTTTATACTTGCCTAAAGTATTTTGTAAATTAATTTCTGTACAAAGAATCCGTACACAAATCCAAGAATTAAATATTAGCATCGGATTTATTCTTACTCTCATTATCGTCGTCATCTCCATTCTCATCGTCTTCATCGTCTTCGCTATCTGATTCAATTGGCTCCCATCCGGGATTAGCTTCTAAAAATGCCGACAATTGACTCATTAATGGTGCTTCATCGCCAGTTAATGTGCGACCAGTAGCTGTTTCTATTACACCAACACGAGTATCATCATTGGATCCACCATCTTCAGTACTCTCACCATCTTGCAATTTCTTCTTTTTCTAATCATAAGACTCCATCAATATTACAGGTAATTCATTATGAAAGAATAGCCAAACTTTAAACTTTATATTACCTTTTTACGCTTTTGTTCTTCAACTTGCTTTCTCTTTTGTTCTATTTTATGTTGTTTAACCATTTCTGTAAGATTGCTGATATATTCATCAGTTTGGGATAGCAAGAACGCTAAACGCTTATCCTTCTTTTGGTCGATTAATTTTCTGTATCCTTCTTCATCTTCCGCCATAAGACGACGCATACGCTCTTTTTCAATACGTTCTTGTTCTTTCTTCTGTTCACGTTCAGCATTTGCGTGATAGTTAAGCACTGCTTTATTAAGTCGAGCCAATTTTGCGACATTATTGCGATGAAATTCTTTAAAGTCCTTGCCATGTTGTAGTACGGAACTAAGAAATTCCTGCAAATATAAATGTCATGTTTGTATTCCGTTTATTCACAGTGATAGTCTTGCTGATAGCATGTGTCGATAATTAAATTTGACAATTTAAGTATGTTAGATAAATTTACCTGATGTTTCTGTCTTCGTTTACGTTCCGCTTCTAATTTCTGTTGCTTTTCTAATTTTTCGGTAGCTCTAGCTTCACGTAAACCTTGCCGTTTCGTACGTTTATAAGCTTTCACATTTACTGCAGTTTCTAAAGTGGTATCTTTCCGAGTACAAGCTATAATCTGTAAAGAATATCGAAAGAGTTAAAAAGAAGAAACAGGAGTTTTGTATTACTGTCATATATGATAAAATAAATCTGTAAATAAATTACAGTACCTCAGATCTTAATTGTCTTTGGAAGTTTAGTACTCTCAGCATGCGCAATTCGATCTGAGCTTGTATACGAAGATCTTCTGGCATGTTTGTCGGCAAATTGCTAAGCTGTTCCATTCTAAGCGATATACGGGCTGCAACTCTGTTGCCAAGCATTTATTTTTTTTATGTTTATATTAGAGATATGGCTTTTTCCACATATTATATTATTTCTCCAAAAGTCTGTCTTTACCTGTTTTCTCGTTCTTGCAATATTAATAGCGGGTCTAATCCGACGGGTTTTGCTATACTTGTCACTCTGTTTGCTTTAGCGCCAGACTGAGGCTGCTGTTGTTGTTGCTGCGGTGTTTGACAGCCCGGTCTAGGAGCACCTGTGGGACCAATAACATTTGGACCTGGTATTTGTGGCCCAACTGTTGGAACAGGGCCTTGAGACGGATCTATGGGGCGTTGAATCCCAGGAGGGGGAGGCGCGCCACCTAATCAAATCCGTCTTAAATCAGGATCATTCTACCCTACTTTTGTAAGTACCACAGTCATACATTCATCTTGTTTCACTCATTACACAGTTCATAAACGTCATATCACAGTCTATAATCTATCAGCATATTTTCTGTAATTAAACAATCTAATATATAAAGTTACCGAGCGAAAATTTAAGTTAATCTGACAAGATTATTCAACATAATGCATATTTAAGATAAAAGCATTTAAAATAAAATATCGTATATAAGTTTCTAGTATGTTCCGCAAATAAAATATAACATACAAGAGATAGTTATATTAATATTTTTCTGTATGCTTATAATACTAAAGCAGTAAGAACAAAAGCAAATAGATACAAAATATATAAAAAATAGACTAAAAAAGCTCTACTTAAGATAAGCAAAACAAATCATGTGGCAGAAAGCAATACAAAAGATAGAGTAGTCACCCAGAGCGCATAAGCTGACGTAAGATGCACTTAAGAACTTACCCTGAGCAGCTAGTGCAACTTGCTGCGGTACAGGCTGGTTTCTTGCTAGCAACCTGTACGCCATTATCTGAGCTCTGTAAAAATGCGAGAAAAAATTGAGAATATGAAATTAAGAGAATGTACAGAAACAAAACTTTTTTTAAATTAAAATATGTTAAATACATACATAAGATAATTTAATCCCATTATTATTTCAGAGAAATAAAATAAATGATATAATTTAAAAATATTCAAATATAAACGTTTTTTTATTTGTACTTGAATTTGACTTATATTACAGTTTATATAAATTTCATGTTTCTTTTAATTTAAAAAAAATAATTTTCATGTCTTTATTTAGGTAATATATACATGCCATACGATCGAAAATAAATAAGTTACGTACCGTAATTGTTGCAATTGTTGTGTATTGAAAGCTTGTTTATCCCCCATGCCACTGCCTTGACGAGCCCTTAAGGCTAATAATTGAGAATATCGCGGATCTTCTTGCAATCCTTTTTCTTCCATAGAATCAATAGCCTTTTGAAGTGCATTCAAATTCTCTTGTCCTGATCCCGGTGGTCCTGCAGGCCCAGTAGGTCCTATTTGTCCACTTCCAGTCTGACTCATTTGATTCACTGGAGCTCCCGATACTAATGGCGTTGTACCACCAGGAACTTGGCCTTGATTTTGACTGCCGGGACCTATTTGAGTAGTAGGAGGCTGAATATTCGGCCCATTAGGTCCCATTGGTCCACTTGCATTTGTATGACTTATTTGATTATTTGGACCACACGGCACCATTTGACTATTCGGCCCAGGTCCCATTTGATTACTCGGAGCATTCGGGCCCATTTGCGAACCCGGACCTCCTTGCATCATCTGCCCCGGACCACTAGATGGAATTTGTCCTCCAGGTCCCATCTGACCAGTGGGACCACTGCCCGGCCCCATCTGTCCACCAGGTCCGCTTCCTGGCCCCATTTGGCCTCCGGGTCCGCTACCACCATGTCCCATCTGTCCACTGCCTGGTCCCATTTGTCCAGGTATGCCTCCAGGTACCATTTGACCGCCAGGCCCACTGCCGGCATTCATTTGCACTCCAGGACCGTTGCCTGGGCCCATTTGTCCTCCAGTGCCGCCTCCAGGACCTGCTGTACTCATTTGCCCTCCAGGACCGCTGCTAGAAGTCATTTGTCCACCAGGCCCACTGGCCACACATATTCCGCTAGGTCCATTAGGACCAATAACAGGGCCGCTACTTGTTGTCATTGGTACATTTCCTGGACCACTTCCAGGCCCCATTTGCACAAGACTGTTAGGTCCTAGTTGGCCTACAGGTCCACTTCCTGGTCCCATTTGTCCACCTGGACCGGTAGGTCCCATTTGACTGCCTGGAGCGCTTGGTCCCATTTGGTTACTTGCTCCTGCAGGGCCCATTTGACTACCAGGTCCGCCAGGACCCATTTGTCCACTTGGCGCATTCATACTCATTTGTCCAGGTGGACCACCCATACCCATCTGCGTAGGTCCGTTTGGGCCCATCTGTGAAGGTCCATTATGACCCATTTGTCCAGGTCCATTTGGCCCAATTTGTCCTGTTGGTCCAACAGGCCCCATTGGCCCACTAGGCCCCATTTGTGTTTGACTGTTTGCCATCATCTGATTTGAGCCACCCGGGCCCATTTGGTTCGGACCTCCTGGACCCATGTTATGCACTACAGGACTACTTGTAGGCATCTGGCCAGGAGCACCAGGACCCATATGACTTCCCGGACCACTCGCGTTCATATGTGTAGATACTGGCGGACCGCTTGCATTCATATGACTGGGAATCGGTGGCCCGCTGTTTATATGACCACCTGAACCAGGAGGTCCACTAGTGTTCATGTGACCTGGTCCAGGAGGACCACTCGCATTCATATGTCCTGATCCGGGAGGTCCACTGGCATTCATGTGTCCTGTTACTGGGGGTCCTGTGCCACCCATATGTCCTGGACCGGGAGGACCACCAGGAGTTATGTGGCCTGGTCCCGGTGGACCGCTTGCGTTCATATGACTTGGAGGTCCACCCATATGTCCGGGACCGCCAGGAACCATTTGAGAATTTTGAGGTCCTCCAGTACCCATCTGAGGTCCTGGAACAGGTCCGCTAGCTGGGCCCATTTGTCCTGGCCCACTCTGGCCCATATGAGGTCCCCCAGGACCTGCACCTTGCACCATATGAGACGGAGCCATTTGCCCAGGGCCTCCTGGACCCATTTGTCCTGGGCCTCCTGGTCCCATCTGTCCAGGCCCTCCAGGACCCATCTGACCTGGTCCTCCTGGACCCATTTGTCCTGGACCTCCCGGTCCCATCTGTCCAGGCCCGTTAGAACCCATCTGGTTAGGACCACCTTGCATCATATGAGATCCACTTTGTGGTCCATTTGGACCCATTTGTCCGGGTCCCATTGGGCCTCCAGGACCTTGGGAGGTAGGTACCTGCACGACTGGGCCACCTGGACCTTGATTCTGAAAAAGCAAGAAAATTTCATACAAATTTACAAAAACTTTATATAATCAAATTTTGAAAAACGAATTTTAAATAATTTATTCACAATTTTTAATTTTAAATTGTAAATTTCAAATAATTTATTCATAATTCTTTTTCAAAATGCATTATATTGTTATATAGACATATACAAATATATATATTTTAACATCATACAACATACTATACAAACTGAAGAACCATACCTCTGATGTAAATGAAAGTAGAAAAAAATCTTATAAGCATGAAACAATTATTTATCTATCACCGAATCTTATTCCTTTAAGTTTTTACGAATTAAACACGTGTTATGAAAAGTTCAATAACACGTATTATAATATAACCGCTACTTGTCTTACACAAAAACTTGGAATAATTTACAAGTAGAATAAGACAGTATTATTAGTTACATTATTATTAACACAATGCTGTTGTGACTTTAGAGCAAAGTATACCTGTATTTTAAAGTTTAATTATTGTATTTAAGCTCTTGTATGTTACATATGTATACATAAACAAAACAAACATACCATTGTTCATAAAAGATCATTAAAAAATTTTTATTATTTATAAAACTATTAATAAATATGTCATTTAATGAAAAAATAAATAAGAATTCGAAATGCAAGATAATTAGTAAATAAGGATTCTTTTATGTCTACTGTTATTCTGTAATTGTGCATGATTGGAAAGATTATCGATCGCCAGACACGAAGTATTCTCTTTAATGTACGCTTTGCTGATTAAAATTCATTATGTTACAAGACGCATGCGATAAAATTATCAGATACCATGCGATTTCTGTATGAAAAACCCACAAGTTGTCAGACAAATTACAATTCATGAATCATCTATTTAGAAAACAGCCAATACTACCTCACCTACTATTTTTGCAGAAATAACACGTTAAGATAAAAAATACATGCAATATTATTTTATAGCGATTTGTGATGTTTTCCAAGGATCTAAAATATTCAAACAAAAGTTAGCGATTGGGACTTGATGATGTAATACATTTAAAAAGTCAAAGTGATTTTAATTGACAATTTAGTAAAAGAGTTTTTTTACGCAATACTACAATATATTCGAAAGTGGTAGAAAATTCGAACATATTATTTTATCGCCAATATAAATTACTATTTAAATTCCATTGTTTTTACACATTTGTCAGATTTACTGGTAATAATACAGTAGTATGTTTCACTTTTTAACTTTTTATCAGAACTTACGAACATATCTGCACGGATTATCAATTCAATTGATAAAACAAACTTCGTACATTCTTTCCCGTAAATGCATCCATATCGATCGCGTTAACTGTGAATAAGGAACTTGAAATTGAAATAGTTTACGATATCGTTTTATTCACTTATTCACAGCCAAAAGAAGCCATGAAGCATGTCTCAATACAAAAACCGATTCAGAACTCGAGCGTATAATAGAAGATGGAGTATTATTTTTGCTTTTCCGTTTACTATTTCTGCTCTTTTTTCTTTTCATTGTGCAGCTGTTTGCAATGAAGATAAAAATAGATGCATTTTCTTATATTTTAGACTATTTAACTGTTGATGATAACGGCATAAGTGCCTCTAACTATTTGCCATTTGCGTAAAACGAAGTGTACAATATTGTCGATCACGAGGCACTGAAAACCGCTACGACGCGATAAATACAATGTGTAACAAATCAGTGTACTGAACAAGTAAAGGTCATGCATGGGATTAATAACGCTAATTGTAAGAGTGCACGCGAGGCCAGCTCATAGGAGCATACCTTGCAGTTTAAGAGTAGCAGCGGGCCTGGCCAAGCCTGCTGACCGAGCATAACATGTTGAAAGGGCATTAGGAAATAACACGCGTGTGCTACTAAACACAATTTCTGAATAGTAAGTACTATTTACAATATATTCCAAATTTTTTTTTATACGTAAATAGTATCGTAATTATCTGATAATAAGTAAATACGTAGCCCTGTGTGATTCGAATAGAAACGTTTAAAACAAAATGTATAACGTAATAGTATTAACTCGACAAATAAGGCTCTATTCGACAAAATCAACAAATTATAATTGTACGAGAAATGATGTTACTGGCTTCATAAAAAAATGTACTATTAATACGCGTAATTGCGTAAGGGATTACGGTGTACCACAAAAAAAGTCAACATGGCCCAGTTTTATTAATGTCGCTTAACCTCGATTTCGACTAAATACTACTTATTGTCTCTTTCTAAGGGACAGTTGGACAGAATATATCTATTATATATGATCTCGACTAATTAATTGTCGCTTTCTAAGGAACAGTTGGAAAGAAGTGACCGTTGGTAAAACCAGACCTATGTGTATATACTATGTATATATACTATACAGATATAGTATTAGTTAAAAAAAAAGAATATCAGGTATGTTAGCTCTCTTTCCGTTACATCATCTGACAAACTTCAAATGCTTCCAAAACCCCTTTTATGTGCTCCAACTTGACAGTTAGCAATGAGAAAAACGCGCGCGTGTCTTTTGAATGTTGAGATTTATTTACCCGCGCTACATGCGCTATCAAATATCATTAATTACAGAGATAAGAACAGTTAAACACCGATGCTCATTTATAGCGATTAGTACGGTAAACCGATCAGTCGTTCTGGCACGATTCTCAACGTCGGCTATCATGTCGAGTGATCCGGACATAGCGAAATGCTTCGAGTTCGCAAAAGAACTCACGTTGCAAGCTGGTAAGGTGAGTAGCTGATGTACATATAAGCGCAAGATATATATATATCTATATATACACAATACACATACACACACATATATAGTTGCATTGTAGTTGTATATTTACATTAATCATTAATTGTATAAGATATTTAAAATGATTAATGTAAACATATATTACTAAAAACTCGAAGAGAGAGACATTTTTCAATCACCATCAGGAGATTTAAGTATCAAATATTCATTCTGCTTTAAAGTAAAAAAAAACACATTTTGAAAATATTGATTATCATTAATATATATTTTTTATAAGTGCAAAAATTATTTAAAATGAATTCAAGATAATCCCCGAGGATACTTTTTATAAATGTTTCGTGAATACATCGATTTTCTTCCTTTTTTTAAGTATATTTATTCATGTAATTGTGTATTTATCTACGTAATAATTTATAGATTCATTTATACATATATCCAATAACATTTATCTGTATAGATACTCGAATGTTTCAAGGATGAAAAAGTTGTATATCACAAAGGAGAATGGGATTTTGTAACCGACTGTGATCACAAAATTGAGAAAATACTCATCGATGGCCTATCCAGAGAGTTTCCTGATCACAAGTGAGTTATAATGTGAGCTGTGATCGCATAAAAAGCAGACCAACTGGATATCGTTGGACGAACAAATTTGAATTTAACTTAAGTAATCCTACGATCACATTATATTCTATTGTTGTAGATATTCAAATATCTTGTATTTCAGGATTATCGCGGAAGAAACGGTAAATGCGATAGGAAAAATGCCAGAATTGACTGATGCACCAACGTGGTTACTCGATCCGATTGACGGAACTGTCAATTTTATGCACTCGTTCCCTCATTTCTGCATATCCGTAGCCTTGACGGTCTGCAAAGAGCTCGTCCTAGGTATCATCTACAATCCATCGAGCACGGAGTTGTACACCGCGATAAAGGGCAAAGGCGCCTTCCTGAACGGAAAGCCGATTCGCACCTCTAAAGTCACCGGTAATGCATGTTTAGTAATTGAAACGACATTATCAATCCTAAAATAGTTTTGAAGATGTTAATGCCGATGTTTGCAGCAAACGTGAGATTTGCAGAGATTCAAGGAATATGACATTTCCCACTTTGTAATCACAATTTCTATATAATTTATACGTTCTTTACAACCCATCATAATTGATTTCCGTCGTGTATCTTCCCGTTTTGCAAAATTAGGGTTAATTACATATTCAAGTCATTAAGTCTATTTAAAACAAGATTATAGATCTAAACTACCTGCATATTAATCACACAGTTGATTCATTCCGAGGGAAAAACCGTAAAAATTCCGTGACGGATAGAAAAGGAGAGCCATGTTTAAATGCGTCAATCAAGAAATGCTACTGTCATTATACTGTCATATTTACATACTTGAAATTTTTTGCAGAGCTGAAGAAAGCGTTGCTCATGATTGAGTCAGTTACAAAAGTACAAAAAAACAGAGACATATATGCGGCCAGGTTGGACGCCTTAGATAAAGCAACGCAAATGTAAGTGAAACGTAAATAATTAAATATCGCATCTGTTATATATCTGTTATTTTGAAAAGATCCTGTCTATGCATTTCCTGTTAATTCAGAGCCAGAAATATCGGATCGGCCGCACTGTCCCTGGCGTATGTAGCGCAGGGTTCAGCGGATTGCGTTCATTCCGATCATGTTAAAGTCTGGGATGTGGCAGCAGGAACGCTGATCTTACGCGAGGCGGGTGGAACTGTTCTAGACACAAAGGGTACGGTAACACGAATGACGGATTTACAAGCAAATATCACTATGGTCAAATTTCACGAATTTCCTTCCACAATCACGAAAATTCCATCACGAAATATCGAAATTTTCTAAAAAAAAAATTTACCTCTGAAAAATGAGTTATTTAATTCATTGTCTAAAAGATGAATAATATTAATGAAATTATCTCGAACTAAAAAAACAACAATTATAAGTACATATATATTCATTAAGATCTTTCTTTACGATGAACGAGAGAAGAATTAATTAATACAATCACTGTATACACTCCGAAATCTCAGATTTAAATGTCAGAATTAGAAGCAGGATCGAATTCAGTACAATTTTCTTACAGAATAATATATGAACAAGGGAAGATAAGATCGGGCAAGACTCAATGCTCTCTCTATTTCTCTCTGTCCAGTTATTGAAAAAATAATTATGATTATCTTTACAGGTGGTGTTTACGATATTATGAAGCCGAATACTATCGCAGCGTCAAACGAAACTCTAGCACGAGAGATGTCTAAATTAATCATCGATACTGACTTAAAAACGCAAAGGAAAAGGCTCAAGAGAACCTGACGTAAGGCAAAAAATGACTCACGCTAATTAATTCAAGAGCCGAGTGTAAAGCAGCAGGAGGCGTGTTCCGGCAGCGAACTTGTTATTATTACGTGTAACATGAGGAAATTATCTATAAAAATCAGTTTAAAAAAAAAGTTTCCATTAACAAGTCCCATTGACGCACATACAGTCGTCAATGAAACTTTTTGTCGTTAACGAAATCTAATTGCGTTAACCAAAGTGCCATCGCAATGTTGTGAAATGAGAATTAGCATAATCAGGTTTCCTCTCGGTCAATTTTCTCCGTAGTTGTTGCAAATAAAGCAAAATTATTAAAGCGCAATTTACTGTCGAATTCATTATCAGCCTTCGACATTCATCGTATGCAGCGCGAAGATATATTGATAATATAACGATATAAATATTACAGAAATAAAATGTATTCCCCGGAATCGCAATTTTTCACTAAAATAATGTCCCGTGATATTATCGGTATAATTTATCGTGAATGTTAAAATTTAAGATAATCTACGTAGATTAAAATTTAATTAAGATTAAAATGTTGCACAATTTACGATATTTGGCGAGCATGATAATGTCGGCATCCGTACATAGTATTTGTACGCAATGATATGATATGAAATGTGATATTAGATAAAAAGATTGGTTTCATTTGTTTTGTCACATCACATTACGATGGATCTGTAAACAGAATTGTTTATTCAGAAACTAGAAAAAAAAATTATAGGCAGCCACAATCATAAATGATTATGTGTTACACAACACCACTTATTTCTTGGCGAAAAAATTGATAACGCTGACATTTATATTCACAGATATGTAACTTATGGTACACATTGATTTACACCACACACCCATCAAAATTTATATTTGATCAATTCTTCCGGTGAAACTTTCTTAAGTTTTAAAGCGCATTCGATAAGATTTCTGACCAGATAGCGAATTAATAACATCTTAATTGTCGCTTTCTAATTTAATTAACCAATTTATTGGCACATTGACTATTTCACTATAAAGTCATCATAATATTATGGTGATTAATTGCAATATATTAATTACAGTGAATTAAGTGAAATAATTCGGCGGTTTTTTAATGTCCGTCATTTTGTATTGATGACATCAAGAGGTAATAGAATTAATTATCGATTTCCTGACAAAATCTTATCTTTGTCGCTAATTCTTTTGTTGTGTACGGTCAATATTTATGGCTGCTGCGTTACAAATTGCTTGGTCAGTTTTTATTAATGGATATTTTTGATATACATTTTCGATGCAACGTATATATTTGTATTGTCCGGTACTCTTTCAAATGCATTCGAACCTCGGGCCTTGAGATTTTTTTAAACCATCGCAATATACAAATAATAAATTTTTATGTCATGATGATATCAAGGTAAAAATTGTCGTAAAAACCAACGATTTCAATAAAGGCCATTTGAGTCATTTTTTTTTTAAGAAATACGTTTCAATATTTTCAGAATGGAAGATATTTGCGTGTGTAACAAACAGAAACATAGATATAGTCGGGATCGATTGGGCCGATCATTGAGGGACATCAAGTACTTGCGCAACACAAATGTACAAGTTACAAGCGGGGAATCTTGTAAACAATAAATGTAAGAAACAGTAGAAATCAAGAATCAGAAAGAGACTGCAAGATAATAATCAAGATTACAGAGATAATTCGCGATAATATCAGCGTAGAAAATATTTATACGTAACAACTGTATGTTAATGAGGCACGCAAAAAAAACTGGCATAATTATAGTTGAAGCCTCGAAAGATACTCCTGTCAAACAACGTAACTCTTTAGATTTTCTAGAAATATTATACCTTTGAGTATACTTTTTGATAGAAATAGTACTTTTATCGGCTTCGGAATAAACCGCAAGATATTGATAAGACGAACGCTTGATGAATAAATCACAAGAGACGGGGAAGAAGGGGGATAATGTTGGCAAATATAAATTTAAGCTCGTGGCGCCTTGAGAATTACGGCGAATATTTTACGAGTCCAGGCAGTCAGAAAAAAAGTAGACTAAATTCTAAATTAACTTTATATTAAAATTTATGTCTGACCGCTAAGCCACTCGAGGACGCGAAACTTGCAACACCTGCAGTTCCCGTCGCGGCAATTAACGCGCAAAATTTGCATATCTTATTATAACGTATCGCTATCTATCATCGCAACTGAATCGCGCACAATAGCTACTATTTTTGTGATATCTCCTGGATCACTGCGAATGCGGTTTGTATTACTAAAAACTTCAATTTTTTTTCTTTTAATCATTTAGAGAGTCGCTCCGAGCATCGTGTGGGAAATAAACCAGCGAGATACCGCTGATCATTTTGCCCTCTTTGTAAAACAATCGCGTCGTCGGGAGTTGAGTGGCGGGCGCGTGCAATTAAGTACATCTCAGACGGGATATAAAATCAAGGTCTATTTTAGAATGGCATTATTGTTATCTCATAAAGACAGGATCTCATTACACGTCAGTTGTATCTTGTTTTAATAGCTCATCATTGTAAAAGCCAACGTGAAATGTTAACCAACCGATTTATAGTACAACATTGTGTAACACCGTGATTAGAAAGATATCATCAACGATATCATATGCAAGCAAAATGGGAAGAGTAGTAGAGTTTTTACTTCGTCATGCCCTCTTGTTGACGAGTAGCAGCAATTAAAAATTTATAATCCCGGAAGGGCCTCGAGCGAAAAACTCTCGGGACGAAAACCCGACAGAATGCGCCGTGCAGAATGCGCCGTTCGTCATTCTCGGATTGTAACCGCGACAGGCGCAACCAACCGATCCGAGTGAAAAAGCACGAGGTGCAGGCACAGGCAACACAGTGCTCGCTCGCGCCTTTTCCCGACGAGGTCGAGACAGACGCACGTTCGTGCCGCGCGTTCACCAGGTTGTACGGGAATGGCGCGATACGCCGAGGACGTGTACTACGAAACTGCCATTAAACTAACGCGCGAGGCTGCCCAGGTGAGCATACACAGGTGTACACCGCACAAGCGCGATCTCATCTCCGTCCAGAGTGACGGCTCCACGTGGTCACCGCCGAACAAAGCGTCGATTACATTAACTGAAAGAGTTGAGATTGCTCGGCAACCGATACGAGACATTGGGAAAACGCTTGCTTCGAGCACGCGCTTACGTTTTATATATTTTTTTTTATATTCTTTCAGATAATTTCCTAGAACGTGTTCAGAGCCGAATGTATCCTGTCGTAAAGCCATGCCATGTCATGTCATGTCATAAAGAGACGTATCTACGTCTGAAGCCTTTTAGGAGTTTACGCCGTTTGCCATTTTAATCTTTCGTCATTGCGTAACATTATAATAAAATTTCTACGAAGCTAATTTGCTAATAATTCCTCATCACATATGTGATTCGTAACTACGTAGTCATATGGATATGGTAATAATTAAATAATGTTTGCAAAGTAATACAACTAATTTTAACGCTTATGAATATTCACGAGTTTTCGCTCGCTTCACGATTAGCAGAGTTGATGTATTAAAATCGATGTGCGTTCGTATGATTTTATCAAAATCGATGAATACCAAACGTTACTCAACGATTTATCATTTCGAATTGAGGAGGACGCAGACGAGCTAATGAGGACGCCCTAAGGATGCCGGCGATTAGCGATAAATTTAAAGACCCTATTAAATATTCTGACGATTGTAGCGATAAACGATTCTATGCTGCGCCGTGAGCAATCTTCCCGTGCTTGAAGCAACAGGAAAAACGGAATTCGCCGTGCGAGTTGTGAAATACCACGAATCGAGTTTGTCTCCGGCATAAATTGTGCGCGTTTAAAACGTTGGAAGCGCGTTTACCTCACGAGCATAATCATCGTCCCGCTTATCTCACCTTTCTATCTTTCACTTACGCAACATTCAACGATCCTCCAACGATTTCATTTGTCTTAATTACAAGGTATTCTTTAAGATTCTCCGAGATGCCATCGACGGCATCAAACATGTCGACAATAAATTGGGCCTCTGGGACCCCGTCACCGAGTACGATCGGAAGATCGAGAACGTTATCATCGGCAAGCTGAAACGCGCGTTCCCAAGTCACAGGTATAATGGACGTCTCTCAGACGACGCGCGTCGTCGGCGAACTAATGAGCAGTGGAATTAATGCAACCGCGCGATCGTACTTGCCCGTCAGGTTTATCGCGGAGGAGTCGACCGGCAATGACCTGCCGGAATTAACGGACGCCCCTACGTGGATCATAGACCCCATCGACGGCACCGTCAACTTCATCCACGGATTCCCGCACACCTGCGTGGTTGTCGGTTTGGCCGTGAAAAAGGAGATGGTCCTGGGTATCGTGTACAACCCGATTCTCGAGCAGCTGTTTACGGCGAGGAAGGGACGAGGCGCGTTTCTGAACGGGAAACCGATTCACGTGTCTAAAGTACAAGGTAACGAAATTAGAGCTGTCGCGTAAAAGATTGGCATAGCTACGTATGCATAGCACAAGACCGTCCGGACCAATAGCGTGTCATGTAAATCGATACGGCGACTTAAGGCTCGATGTTCATTGGTTTAGACGGTCCTTGTGCTGTGCATATGCAGCTATGCAATTTTTTTTGTACGATAGCCCTTAGGCCGGTATTCGCAATCAGATATTCAAGGCCGTCTTAAGATCATCTTTAGATACTCCGTAGCCAATGAAATGCTCCATACAGCATCTTTAGATAAATTCCAGACTATCTTGAATATAAGATCCGACTATCGGCCTTAGTCTCTGCAATTTGGTTCCGATAAGATACGCGAGTGTAAGCGAAAATGCAAAGAATGCGGAGAATGATATACGATACCTTCCTGCGCAGTAACAAAGAATTTACTCCAACCGGTTCCTCGCGTCTGAGGATCTCGGGACGAAAGGCGACTTAATGGTTTTGTATTAATATTGCGAAAGTAGGACAAAATCAGTGTCTGTCCTCCTGCTGCTGGAGAACACAAGTATCCGTAACTAAAGATGTATCGTATCTCAGACTATTTGCCTCTTCACCTTCAAGCTACGGAATGACAGACATTATAGATCGATTCTCGCTAACGGCCGCGTTGCAACACGCTAAGTGTGTGGCGGTAATGATCCAGAGAAATCACAGCTGCACTTGAGAAACGTGTCACAAGGATAAAGTTAGAAAGCGTCATTGTACACGAATGTTAATCACCCTAATTCCGCGAATGTGAAATGTACGGCGCGCCGGAATTTTGCAGACTTGTCGAAAGCCTTGGTCTGCATGGAATCCGGCTTCATAAAGATAGACAGTCTACGGGAGAAGATGGTGGAGAGGATCCAAACCGTCGTCAATGAGGTTCAGGGGTAAGTCTCGGCCTGCGACAACTTGAGATTCCACCTTGGCTCGTTTCGTTTTCTCGCACTATTTATTTCACCTTGAAGCATTCGCACTCTCGGCGTGGCGGCGCTATCGTTGTGCTACATCGCGCTCGGGATCGTGGAGGCTTATTACATCGAAGGCCCCGGAATTTCGACGTGGGACATAGCCGCGGCATCGTTGATCATTTCGGAAGCGGGAGGCGTCGTTGTGGACCGCATAACAGGTTGTTATTCATAGTCTACGTACTCTGCCGCGTTGTCATTCAAACTGAGGGTTGCAACCGTTGACATAAGACCCGGTTGCATCAACGTCACGTTATTTTATAGCCTTATCTACTGTGTGCTCTTTGCGTCTAGAAGCACTCTATTTTGTAGTCAATAAATACGTTTAAAAAATGCGCGCGAGTGGATAAATTATACACCGTACAATCGTACATTGCCGATAGTTTTTAAGCGTTTCAATTTGTTTATATAAAATACAATGTTTCTAGATGCAGAGAGTAGATTAGACTTAATTCACTCTTCGTCTCTTCCCGTTTCCCTTAGGCCCAGTTTCACCAACGTTGTTTAAAGCTTAGCTTAATTCGTTCTCTGTCTCTTACCAACTGTTACTTTAGAAAGAGACACACGTGAATTAAACCAAGATTAAAGTTAGGCGACGTTCGGTGACACTGGGCCTTAGAAAGAGACAAAGAGACAAAGAATTAAGCTGAGGTTAAAGTTAAGCAACGTTGGTGCAAACGGGCCTAAGACGTATTGTTGAGATGCTTTGCTGTGAAATCACGATGGATTACTCTTACATAAGTGTTCAGCTCTTCTTTCTATTACTCATAATCTGCATATATTAATCGACATTCCATGATTTTTTATCTATTCTAATTCCAATTAACGTCATTTGTAACAACTTATCACCGTTCATATAATGACTCAGCGCCTTTTAATCAGATTGTTACTGAAGCGGGTCACTTTCGTGACCGAAACGTTTAACTTTTTTTTCTATCCGGTGACGGCTCCCATTGCCCCTGAGTTATCTTTCCTTTCTATTATTTTTATTATTAATATCAATTTTGTATCTAAGACGCGTTACTTGCAATTTGGCCAAGATCTCACTCACGAAATAAAAATCCCATGAAGAATAATCGTACAAATAATTCGTCAGCGCTTAATTTTTATTTGCGTGACTTTGCGCCGACTTCCAGCCGTGGGGTTCAATTATCGCCTGTATCGCCTTTCGTTACGCTCCAATGGCTACCATACGTCCTTTTTTTTTTTCTTATTTCAGGCGCGCCGATCGACATCATGAAGCCACGCGCAGTGGCCGCGTGCAACGACGGGATCGCTCGCGACGTCGTTAGACTCATCCGCGAAGCTGATCAACGGGTGGACATGAGGGTAAAATAACGCCGACGGTCCCGAAGTACGTGTGTTGAAATGAAAAATCTCTATCACGATTCAACTGCTGCCGCGACTTCTGTAGACCTCCAAGTAGTACGAATCGGGAGAAAGTAATAGACCGGGTCCTTTCGAAGAAGTGCTGTCAGTTAGACAAGTAGAAATGTGTATTATCTGATGCGCGTGAATGTAACGTAAAACGGTAATAAATCCATCTAAACCAAGCAAAATGATTTACTTCCTCCGTCGTGTTCCTCCAAACAGTTCCCGGGCCTTTCCTCGGAGCTAGTAACCAATTAAAAAAAAAAAAGATAGGCAATTACATAGTAGCCGATGCAAGCGCGGAGCATTTCGTAATTACGTTCGCAATTAGCGACGCACGAAAGAGATGATTTTACAATCTGCTTTTTCCCCACCGCGCCTAATGACTGAATCTGTCCTCCGGGCGGAAATTTCAAGTGTTCCCCGCAGGGAAAATCCATGCTCCGAGATGCGTCATCTAATTAGAGAATCTACCGGCTAATACGGTAAGGACAGAAATACCGCGGTTTTCGCGGAAAGTTACACGCGAAATCGTGATAAGGATGTGGACCCCAGACTCGTTACGGCTCCCCCGTGCGTAATCAACTTGCGACAAACGCACCTTCCAGCTTGCGCTCTGACGTCACGTATCACGAGCGGAATAAAACTTTCGCGAGTATCGGCCAGATAAGTTTCGGCCGTTCCTACCTGCGACGTTCATTCGTGCATCCGACCTGGCACGTTGACAGTCGGAGTCTCTCTCGCGGTGCACCAGTCAGTCGGCGCCCTGATATCGACTCGACGAGTGCGCTTGTAAAACCGTCGCGCAAAAGAACTCACGCGATCGTACCCCGTTCGTTGCACCGCGAAGGCAGAAACGATTGGCGAAGATGGGCGAGCTAAATAATTTGGACGAGTGCTACAGAGTCGCCGAGGAGTTGGTTTTGTACGCAGGAAAGGTGCGTTATTGTTTCGCGAGAAATATGATAAGCGGGCATTGCGAAAGCTCGCGTTGCGAGATAGCGCGTCAGCTAGATGTTCGGAGATAGCTGCCAAGTCACGAGCGCGAGATATTGCCTTGATTCACAATCTGGTTAATATTTGTTTAGTAAACACTTCGATGCAACTGGGAGAACCGGATACCAATTATCTGTGTTTGAGGGTTTCAGTAAGCTATACGTATCACCTTTTCAGTTATAGATTTTTTAAGGTAGTTACTTCGTAAAATCATTTGTGTAAGAATTGTTTCAAATTTTTACAGTTTATTCTTTACATTAATACGTGCAAAATAAGACTAATTAAATTTACATTGACCGTCTCAAAGTTCTAAAGCAAAATGTTAAAGTTTGCTATATTACACGAGATATTACGTATAAAACACGTTAAAAATATTATTACACGTAACACTATAATTCGTTGTAATATTATTACACGTGAAATATTATTTACACATATTATTATGTGTTAAAATAGTAATATTTGCGTTTGCAAACGCAAATGATGGCACATTTTATTTTTTTTAAGCTTAACGGTGAGTAAGATTCGTGTGAGAAACAAATATGTTATAAAGTAAAATAGAACGAATAACTGGAAAGAAAATCAAAATGATTGACTGCTCCGTTTCAACGATATCAACAGTTAAAACTGAAAAGTGAGAAGAATTATGTAGTAAACATGAATGTAATGTAAGAGATGTGGCAACAGCGCCACAAACTATAATCTTTCGAATCTATTTTATATTATGTATTAATCGTAAGTGTATTTTTTAAAACAATATTACATCAAAATATATAATTGTAATAATTGAGTGCCAGTTCCTGTCTGGAATAAACTTTTGAGCATTACTGTTGCGAAACAGCTACCTTAATTTTCTACGAAATTAGCTACTGTTGCATAGTTCTATAAATTTGTCATTATTATATACACATAATATAATATACGTGTAACAAATAAATTTGAAATCGAGACTAAATTATGAAATTTGTTCACATTAATAAAATTAGTTAGTCATTATTTAAAGTTACAGTCGTGTACGTTCAAAACACGTACTGACAAATTACTTGCCGATTAATTTTCGCGATTTCACGAATTTATATTTTATGCATCATAGATAAAAGTTTAATATCATTATTATAGGTTAACACTATCAAAAATTCTTTCAATAGATCCATTGATCAACTCGGAAGCTGTTTTTCATTAACAAAAATGTCGGACAATAAGTTCCGAGTTTCGAAAGTTCCGAAAGTCTTCACAGACTTTAACAGCTATATAATACAAAATTCGTAGTTTCAAAACGATATCCGTCGAGAGATAAACCACTGACCAAAATCATGTACAACAATGTCCACTAACGTCCAGTGGGCATTATTTTATCTTATCTTTATAATACTCCAGCAAGGTCTAATGCCCAAACTAATGCCCAAAAATACCTACTATTTGTACAAATATGTACACTACAATACCCGCAGCGGTTTACCCCTAGGTATCCGTTAAGAAAACTTACAAAACTAGAAAAACGTCGAACGAGTTGAGCGTAATATTAATACAATTCGAGTACAAATGTACTGGTAAATCTCCAGAAGTTTCCATACAATCAGTACCGTAGTATCATGTACAATAAAACAATGTACATGATATACACATAATTTTTTTTTTAATTAATACAATTTGTATGGCTCAAATGTGATGAACACAGATTTGAAGGAATAAAGGACCAAGAACCGTAACAGAGTGTTAGTGTCTAAATATCGTATACCCTGGCTGAGGTGATATTTTTTCGCAGTAAATTAAGAGTGAGATATTTAGACACTAACACCCTGTCACGGCTCTTAGTCCTTTATTCCTTCAAGTTTGTCTAAAATTTTTTATTGTAATTGTACACGACGTTTCCTCGACACAAATCTAATTACTTTTTCACCACATTTTCCTGCAACTCACATTTCTGTGACAATATGTAAACTTTCCAATGTCTATCGAAGGACTTACAATAGAAGCGATTACGTGAGATGTGTCGGAGATTTCGGGGGGGGGGGGGGGGGTGTGTCTCGTATGCATATATTTTTACTTCACGGACTTCCAGTTATTGATATTGCGCTCAATCTCGTTCAACGTTTTCATAGTTTTCAAGTTTTATTAACGAATACGTTTGCATTATATAGCTGCTAAAGAGGCTCATACTTTAGGAGAAAAATGGCAACAAACCATATTTTCGGTAAAAAAAAATCCAAATCGATCACATCTCTCACTAAAAAGACTCTCGATAGGGGATTCATTCATAAATAATTAATTTTTCCCGACAGAAAACGAGCGGTGTCGAGTAATAGAGGAATTTACACGAAACGTATTGAAAGAGAAACCTTCATCTTTTGCAGATAATAGAAGATGGTATCAGTAGAAGAAAAAATGTCAAAAGTAAGGGGATTGACTGGGACCTTGTCACGGAATACGACCGCAAGATAGAGGACAAAGTAATAAAACAATTGTCGATACAGTTTCCGTCGCACAAGTAAGTTATCGCGATGAACTGGCAGTTAGCCGCCAGTGTGACAAGGTGGCTGTAACGAGATTCGATCTTTCAGATTTATCGGGGAGGAAACGGCAGCGAAGGAAGGCTGCCTACCGCAACTGACCAATGACCCTACGTGGATAATAGACCCGATAGACGGTACCACCAACTTTGTGCACCGTTTCCCGCACACGTGCATCTCGTTGGCGTTATTAGTGAACAAAAAAGCGGAGATCGGGATAATATACAATCCGCTTATGAGGCAATTCTTCTCGGCCAGGAGGCACTGCGGCGCCTTCCTCAACGGGAAGCCCATAAAAACCTCTGACACGAGAGGTGAATCATCCTATACACTCTAACACCTATGCGATTTGACGTGATAATTTCTCCAGCCAATGTAGGGAACTTCGAAACGTCGTAATTCCAGACGCAAGCGTTTCCGACCCCATGTTCATGGGACATTTCTGCTTGTTTAGGTCCCTGGAACTTATTCCAAAAGTTTGTACAGACCGTTCAGGGACACCCTGTAGACTACGGAGTATTTTCATATTAGAGGCACGCGCGCGACGGCACGTTTCGAGCAACGTGTAATAACATAGAGACGCGTGATTACAATTTTCACGTATTACTATATCGTTGCGGCCTTGTTGAAAATGAGTGTAAGAAATACGTCGTTTTACGGTCCAGTGGAAGGTTAACTAATATCCTATGAAACCGCAGATTCTATGCGTACATCAAGTTAATGTCGCGTCCTTCATAAAGCAGTCACTTTCAAATGTCAGACAGCTATAATCCGGCTGTTTACTCTGTCCACCAAATTAGTTCATTTTAATATGCAAGATACTTGGAAAGTGAAAATAATGCAATGCGTCTGTTCTTCCCAGACATATCTCAATCACTGGTGGCCATGGAACCCTGGCTCGCGAAGGATCCTGAATACCTGACCAGCGTTTACTGCAGAATGCACGCTTTAGTACAAGGAACTCATGGGTAACGTATTGTTTTAGACATTTTAGTCGTGTGTTAAAAAAATACAGTGTTAAAAAAAAGTGTTTAGGGCTTTAAAGGCAGACGGTGAAAGTGAGCGAAAAGTTCCAATAAACAGGTCGGAAAAGTAACACTTTCGGAATTATACAATAAACCGAGAATTTTTGAAGGAGTTCGCAATTCTTTGGTCAACGAAGGTGCGAAAATGGAAGGACACGTGGAGAACCGTTTGTAACTTTGGTGTTTGAAGAATTCTTTTCTCTTCTTTCGAATAAATGGAACTTACTTCAGCCGAAATAAAGAATTGCTTGTAACTCCGAAAATTAATTTTTCGATCTACTTTTATTGGAACTCTTTGTGCTTCGTTTCACGAGTACTATCTGCCCTAAAGTCCTGAACCCTTTTCTTTAACGCCCTGTGTATCGTTTTCATGTATAAATTAGCCCAAAGATTAATAGCAAAGTGTTTCCCTTTTCAGGATAAGATCGCTGGGAACAGCAGCGCTTACGCTATGCTACGTAGCAATGGGAGCCGTGGAGGCATATCACATCGAAAGTATAGACGCCTGGGATGTTGCGGCAGGCAAACTGATAATCGAAGAAGCCGGCGGAGTTGTGATAGACACCGCTGGTAAATATTACTCTAAGTCACTTCATCCCGTTACAACTTAATTTTCCTCGATTATCCCGACTTGGAAACTTGGCGAATCTCGCTTTATCCTATTAAAGAAATCTCCGTTATAAATACTGAAAATTCACGACTTACAGGTGGAGAACTGGATCTAATGGTTCCGAGGGTTATAGCGGCATGCAATCAGCAAATCGCCCAACAACTTGTGGATCTTATTAAGAAAGCCGATTCTGAGATACTTAACAAAAACTTAAACTGATTACGTAGCGTGCGTTACACGTCACATTACAACAACGCCTATATATATATATATACATGTATAAGGGTGATTCAAGACCTCACCGACAAACTTTTTGAGGAACGATAGGTCTCGCAGAAAGGATCATTTTTTGTCGAGCAACCCACGTCCTCTAAAGCCCGTATCTGACTACGGATTGAGATTGACATTAGATTGAAATTTGACCAGTAAGAGTAAAAGTCACTAAACTTGAGATTAGCAAACTTTACTGCGATTGGTCAGATTTCGATCCAATCCCAATCTCAATCCGTAGTCTGATACGGGCGTAACGCGTCGTTTAGGCGCTACGCGACCGCGAAGGTCCCAAGTGACGTTTATTACAATTGTGAAATAGTTTACTTATTATTTCAAGTACACTTGCTTTACAGAAGGCGTTCAAAGTGTCTACCCTGAACCTGATTGCATTCAATACAGCGTCGTAGCATTGATTGTCAGACTCTACCGAATAATTCGAGGTCAGTCTTGAATTTGGTCAAAAGCAGCGCGTATTCGTACAATTAATTCCTCTCCGGTGTTAACTGGCGTGGTGTACAAGACACTCTTCACGTGTCCCCAGAGAAAAAAAATCAATGGGCGTTAAGTCGGGCTTACGTAGATATAAATTCATTTCACAATTGTAATAAATGTCACCTGGGACCTTCGCGGTCGCGTAGCGCCTGAACGACGCGTCAGAGGACATTGGTTGCTGGACCAAAAAACATGATTCTTTCTGCAACACCTGTCGTTCCCCAAAGTTTGCCGGCGAGGTCCTGAGTCGCCCTGTATATGTGTACTGTACGCAGACTTAAAAGCACAGTATTACTAAATGTGGTTTCAAGCTGCATTAAATTTACAAAAGATTGCATCTCAGGACTGACACATCTTGCGCTTGTCGACACCGACATTTACCGTTTACATGTTCAACAGGGTACGCTAGAATTAATAAACGTTCTCAACAACGATAAACAAATGTCATGTTCCTGTCAGACCGAACGTCCAACTCAGTCAGTAACCATATAATGAAAAAAAGACTTCTCTTCTCTCTTACCTCATAATTTATGCCTACGCGTGCACTATTAATATCTGTGTTATATGACCAAAAGGTATGGTCGAAGGCACCTGATCCCTTCTGATCTTTCCAAGAAAAAAAAAGAAAAGAAATAATGTACAACTAATAAAACGTAACTCCAGGGGGGGGGGGGAAGAGCGTGGACGCAGCCGTCGCGGGCTACGAGTCGTACCTGCGGGCCCATGTTGGGTGGCATCTGTTGCGGGTGGGGCGAATAACTCTGTTGCTGAGGCGGGGGTTGCTGCGGCGGCTGCGTCATAGGCGGTCCGCCCGGTGGTATTGGCGGACCGGCCTGGTAGCTCTGCGTCGGACTGTGGGGATGATGCTGCGGCGGCCCCATCGGACTGCCCTGCGCGTTGGACGGGGACGGCGCCTGCTGCGGGGGACCCATGGGGCTGGGTGCCTGCGGCGGCGGCATGGGCGAGGACTGCGGCGAGGGGCTCGCCATGTTGCCGCACTCGAAAGGTTCCAGCTTATCCAAGACTCGCTTCCTGAAAGTCGCAGCAAGCGTAAGATCAAGTGCCGGAAAGACGCGCGAGGGCGCCGACTCCGCTCGACCGGCGTACACACCCGGTAAGCGCGAGAACGCACTCGTACGATTCGACCGCTTAAAATAGGCGCACGCTTAGGCGAGATGAGCCCTCGTTCGAGACGGCAGCTCGCTCGAGGCGGCTTTCGTGTCAGAGTAATTTTACGAAACGTTCCACCTCTTTCTTTCTCTCTCTCTCTCTCTCTCTCTCTCCCTCTCCCTCTCTCTTTCTCTCTGTCTCCCTCTCGTCTCTCCCGACGTCGAAGGCGGATCGTTGCGGTTCTCGCGGGCGAAACGGGACGACGCGCCGCGCTCGCCCGCGTTCGCTCGGTGGCCGACGTTCGTCGCGCGGCCGAGGGACAAGACCCGGAGGCCGAGGCTAACGCGCGATGCCGAGCGCGCGATTCGACGTCGGTGCACTGAACGATGCCGCCCGCCTCTCTCGGCCAGCTACTACGTACCGTTCCGCTCCGGGCTCCACGTTATCGCGGCGGGCAGGCCGGATTCATCCTTGCGTGTGCCACCGCACGCGCGCAATTGCTGTCAGAGACACACGGGAACGCGCCGAGAGTTGAGTCTTCACACCTCGCCGAACGACCCCGAGAGATGCACGCTGTCGGCCATATTTCCACTCTTGTCTCGCCGTAGAGGCTCGCCAGCCAATGGCCGAACATGGCGTTCGCGTCGCTTCCGCGCACGGCGCGAGCCGCTGGTGTTGGCTGCGGACCGGACGAAACGTTGATGAAGCGCGACAAAACGCTTCCCCGGCCGAAAAGGTCGAGGACACGGCGTCGCGCAAAACAATTTGCCGGCGAGGCGACGGCTGTCGAATATTTGTTTCACAATCCGCGCCTACAATTGCGTCCACACTTCTGCCGATATGCACATAGGGTGCGTTCGGGAGCTCGCCGTCAGCGCTACTCGCAATTAGCGCTGGGACTCGATCGCCCCCGGTGAGATCCGAATGATTCGCCGATCGATGTCGGATCGACATCGATACCGTCAAATTGACGTCGATCCGACATCGTTTCGACATCGATCGACGAATCATTTCTCACTGGGACGAGTCCTTTCCTGTAGCGTGAACCCGTGAAAAGTAGTGGTCTTAATTAATCGAAGCTTCGCAACTTCGAAGCTTCGAAGTATCCGAAGAAACGAAGAAACTTCGAATATCGAAGTTTCGAAGTTTCGAAGTTTCGAATATTCGAGGTCAACTAATGCATTAAGATATAAGCTTTCAAAGACCAACCGAATTTATTATCTGTATTTATCATCTGTATCAGGCAGTAAAAAGAAATAGTTAATAAGATAAAATGTTAATGATAGAAAATTTATTTCCTTCGAATTAATTGTATTTTTATGAGCGAATGGACAAAAATGTGTCCGACAAAAAGTACATTTGTTTTTTTATACTTGTAATGATATTAATTAGTTGGCATTTAATTAGTTTACAGTTATAGTAAAAACGATTAATTTTGCAAAATGTGTTATTGTTTTTTATCTTGTTAATACATTAGTTGACTTCGAAAATTCGAAACTTCGAAACTTCGAATCTTCGAAAAATTCGAAAACTTCAATTCTCGAATAATTTCTACGAAGCTTCGAATCTACGAAGATTCGAAGCTTCGAAATCGAAAATCTTCGAAGAGAAATTTCTAGTGAAAAGTGACAAATTTCGTTGACGAATGCTTCAATGAAATTTTTCACTTTTTTTACGAGTGCACGCTAGAGGAAAAGGTTCATAAGCGGGGAGCACACACTTTTGCACAAGTGCATAAGCATTACGAATTTGATTGGTCCGTTTCCTTATGCATTTGCATGTAGACCAATCAAATTCGTTATGCATACCCTTGTGCACTTATGCAAAAGTGTGCGCTCCCCGCTTTAGAAATAATGAGCATCTCATGGGTTTTCCGCCCTTTCCGCATTTTCCGCACGTTTTCTGCGTATTCCGCGCGTTTTCTGCATTTTATGCGTATTATGCGCAGAATTGTGCACAACACCTACCGCGCACATTACCCAACCCTGCTTGCCCGGTACTTCGGGGCTGCACCGCGCTGCACCTTCTGCACTTGAATTAAAGTGGATGCGTAAGTAAACGTTAGTTAGAAAGAGAGAGAGAGAGAGAGAGAGAGAGAGAGAGAGAGAGAGAGAGAGAGAGAGAGAGAGAGAGAAAGGCAAGTGCGAAAGAAAGTGACAAATTATACGAGGCAGCTACATTTTCGTCTCTCTTCAGTTTTCTGCCTAACGACCAGGGATTCCGCGGCTTTTCTACCATGTAAAAAGAAAAGACATCGACAGTTGTCGGTAACCGTGCGCGGAGTCGCGTCTCCCAGTTTAATATATCCATCTCGCTCTAAGTGCAGAAAGTACAATCAAAGTGCAGCCGCGAGGAGCCAGTCTATCTTGCTCGCGCAGGTTAGAACGCAACGAGATGGCTTTGACGGCGAAGGGGCTCGGCGGACTGTCAACGCAGTTGTTGCGAAGCAAGGCGTGTTCGTACGCCGCGGCGAGATGCTACGCCGAGAGACGTAAGTAGCCCCCGCACGCGTCCACCTCAACTTGTCTCCCTCGTCACGCGTCGCGCCCACAAAGCGAGGCTGCCGCGCCAGTGAGCGCCGCGACTAGGTTAGGATTGTTGTTATTACATAATTAAGTGTCATACGTGGTCGCGTTTCAGCGACTAGTACAGAGCATAACTCGGGGGTGCGTTCCGTTTCGCGCACGACGCATCGTTTATCCGTGTTACCCGCCAAATGTTAAAGAAGGATGCGTGTCGCGCGCGAAACGGAACGCACCCTCGGCGCGAGGGATCGCCGCGGGGAGACGCTCGTACAAAAACGCGCGGGAGATCGTTGAAGGATCTGTCCGAGCGGCCGCGTAGCGAGGATGAGAGCTGAGAGTTCCGTTCGCCATCAGCAAAACCATGGAACCACCTCTGGAGGCCGGGGGTGTACAAGAAGGAGGATCACGACAAGATCGCCGAGAAGTACCACTTGCACCCCAAGGACTACCAGCCCTACCCAAATAACGAGAAATTCATCGGCGATTACCCGAAGCTGCCCATGGTAGGACCGGCCGCCAAGGACCCGTACTATCCGTACGACATACCGGTGTTCAGGAAAAATTATTGCGAGCCGGTGAGCCTGCGTGTGTTTGGGGAGCTTCTGAAATTTTCACCCGTCAACGTTCTCCGCGTGTACCACCCTCGTGTGCTCTCGCCTTTCTAGGTGCACGACCAGTTTGAAGTCATGGGCGAGGATCGCTTCAGCTACGGCTACAAGTACAGAATCAGTCTGTATTGGGGGACGGCCGGCTTCTTCGCCACCATCCTCGTTTGCGCGACGATCACTTACTTGTTGCAACCTTACCCGTCGTTCATACCGAGAGTAAGTACCTCAGAATCGTCATTGTTGACGATTGTACAAGTCGCCGATTGGTTCGAGTGGATATTGCGGCACTTAACGAATGTGCGTTTCAGATGGAGAAGCAGATGCCGCAGCAGGGCGTAGTGCACTACTCATTCGAGCCAGCAGATTCGTGAAGATAGGACGAGTAGCCTCGAGTAGATATAATTAGCCTCGAGTCCGATTTAATTATGAACACACGAGTTGTATGGATGGTATTTATATTACAACATATATATGTATATATCTCTGCTGTGTTTCTGCAACAGCTCAATTTTCCCTTGTTATAACTTCAGTTTCTTTTGCCTCTACTTGTACCATAGCCTTCAATCTCTATCTCACGAAGAAGTAATAAATTGTTAATCGATATCCTATCAGGATAATAATTAATTGATCCGTAGACTCCAAATCGATCCCAATTTCGTGATATCTAGTAAAATATCAAAAAACCGCTGATGTTTTCTATGATAAACGAAGCTCTCCCAGTCGCAACTGATTGTTAAACTACAGAGTATAATTAAGTTGACTAATATTTAGGAACACTTCAAGACCCAATTTCTTTAAATATCCCACAAATATAATTGTAGAGTGGCATCACGTATGTAAAAGCTTGGTTCCGTTAACGCACCGATTTTTTTGTTTTGTTTTTGCCCCCATCGAAGGGGACCGAGACACGCGGCTGGCTACAAAACTGGCGGACGTACCATCGACTAACACATTTTTATTTCACTTCTTCGTACATTCATTACAAAGAAAGCAATAACATTTGACCGAAAAACTTTTTACGCATACAAATCGTCAGTGTGTAATCCGTAATACAAAGGAGGGAGGGAAAATATATCCGCGCGAGGGATATCTCGCAGAGGGACGATTGGACATGAATCGCATCGACATGGAAAGATCGCCCGATACAAATTTGCATCCGCCGTATCGTGACGTCGCCGGTAGTATGACCTGTACTAAAAATACAGATAGAAAAATATGACGATAGGCTACGGAATAAATTGTATACGATGAGAAACGCGTGTGAGCACGATCTTTCTTCTGTGTATGCATGTATGTGTGTATGTGTGTGTGTGTGTCTCGATTAAAACCTGCCACGGCTATCGTTGCGTAGTGTAGTCAAGTGGGACACGTCGCGGAGACACTTAGTAATATCACGTACTTATAAATGATATGCTTGGGTCAATTGTCCGCTTCCGCCTTTTTTTCCCCCCTTAATAATCACCCCGTTGCGGCACACGAGACACGTATATTCCGTAAAATATTGAATTGGGATGCCTCAACGCGCACCCGCCTTCCTCTCGACGTTTAAACAGTCTAAGGAGTACGCCCTGCACGCTTCTGACGGATATACGAATATTGAATTGTACGCGCGAGTTTTACACGAAGATTCGACGGGAAGCGATCGAGGGAATCGGCGCCGCGTATTGGATCCCTTTTCGTCGCGGTGTACGATTGTGCATTTTAATAAATTCCAGAGGTCGTCGCCTGGCGATTGTGCGAAGTAGCTGTGTGGCACTGAGCCCGGAGGACTTTCCCGTTAAATGCAGCGAGATATTGCTTATATTCGAACACGAGCGTTCGAAACGTCGATATAATACTTTCCCCTTCGTTTCTCTCTTTAGACGTTTAGACAAAATTGCTAATTTCTTTATTGACTATTGTTCCACGGATGCTAGACACTCAGATCCGAATCCTCCACATTGTTACACCTTGAACCATCTCCTTCGAATCGCAATTAGTTTCACATACTTTTAGCTAAAACAAGCTCTCAAATTAACAATCTCGGGCTCTTTAAAATGCACGTGATTCGTCTTCTCTGCACTCTACGTGTGTCTCTGTATGTGTGTATATGTGTCTATACATATACAGGATATTTCGGAAATAGGTCGCTAAATTTTAAATAAAATTCTTATTCTATTCACAGTAAGAATGGGGAAAAAATCCTGAAACTGGATCCGGAAACGCTTCCTCTTCAAATTAAAAATACTTCTTGTATACAGCAGAAATGAACAAGAACTTGGTTAAAGAAATTACTAAAACAGACTCTCTTCGCGCCTCGCAGCGGCGTCTCACGGGCTGAAGCGTCTAAAACGTTCAAAAAGTTTCACAAGCGATAAAATATTTCGGGGGAATTTCCACGCTAGCAACAAGAATGTCACAGACGAGCCTTAAAATGACCTAAATCGTGAGTAATAATTATCTTCTTCGCTAGTAATTGAAAAAATAAATACCTAATATTACTCGACACAACTGGCTATAATTAAAAGAAATTATAGTCAGTTGTGTCGACTATTATTTATTTAAAACCCCAAAGGATTTAAATCGAGAGAACGTGCAGATAACGTTATTGGTCCCCAATAATTTGGGGAATCCACCGGCCAGTAAAATTATTATTAAGAAATTTTGTCGCGAGCAAAAGATGTTCGTGACTCGGAAAGGAAGCGCACCTTAATTCACGCAATTCTTTTGCATCCTGACAGAAAGGAGAGTATGTTCCCAAAATTTGACCACCTATTTCTGAAACATTCTTACATGCGCATATTAGGGAAAACTTCATATTACAATCGTTATCGTGCTTGCGATTACGTGGCGTAAGCAAATCAATTTCTGGACCGTTAAAGTTGTATTATCTCAGATAGCATCTTAATACACAACATCCTACCCGCTCATCTGCCACCTCTAATACATCGTCCTATAAGTAGCGTTTTACGGATATGTCACCTTCGTCGCGTTGCTTGCAATAAATATCGAAACGTAAATCAACGTCGAGAAGCGTCGAGACGTACGAACGGGATACGTACCCCTATTTATGCGTGATACTTTCCTAAATATTTACCGTGAGATCTACGCGAGTGCGAAGTTACATACATGTAATCTTTCGATGAAGAGGACTTGGTAAAACACATCGATAGCGATTATTACTTGCTTCGGTTTATTACTTATCGGCAATTATTCGCTACGGGTGAAGACGCGGGTCCAGACCGACGCGGGACGTAGCCGCGACGAGTCGGCAGAATCGATCGTCCTCGGTGTGCCACCCGTGCCTCCGTTTCCCCGCGACGGTTCGGTCGCCTTCCACCTCGACGGTAACACGCAGAAGAACGTTAAATCCACTTGTTTCGGCGAGAGTTATTTGATTCGATTTCATTTCCGAGTTTCGTGCCGCGCGCAAAATTCACGCCCGGCCGAAAGGTAGAGGGAAGCCCATGCGCAACGGGAGAGAGGGCCAAACAATTCCGACGCGAGCCCGTTTTCCGCCAGTGGAAAAACCTATTTTTCTTTTCTCTCTTCTGGAACTTCGAACGCTGAAGTGTACGTTTAAATATTGACAACGCAGTTCGTTCCGTATTGTTAGACTAGATTAACAACACATACGTATATATACACAATGCAATAAATATTGTACGATTGATCCTCGAGTGTCTGCAAATAAGCCTCGCCTTAGAAAAAGAGAGAGAGAGTCCCGAGTATATGCGATAAATTACACGTATTCGATTGTAATTTTTTTTTAAGTTAACAGCGATCGCTCTTTTTTAGAGTCCATTTCCGTTACAGACTGTTCCTTCGAAGCCTAAGACATTCAGCAAACGATAGGGGAAAAAAATACAGATCACGTTACCCGCCTACTTTAGTTTACAGTCGCGCGTCGAGCGTAAGAAGAAAGCAATTGCAGCAATTATTACCGCATCTCTCTCCGTCTTCTTAGCAACTCAATTTCCTACTCGCGAAGCAGCTTAATTGCCTACCTAAAATCGATAAATCGAGTCTAATTTCTTCGTTGCACATTCAATGGATTCATCTCACTCGTATTTTGGTAATGCAGTACTTAAAATTATGTATTTACTTATGTATATTTCTTCGTATGCAATATGTAGAGGGGAAATTCTGCCGATGGTCCAACAAAATCTTCGCGCGCGATTATAGAAATTATGATACAGCCCCGGTGTACGTACAATATTCTTAAAAAGGCCTTTTCGACTATTGGCAGAACTTCCAAAAGTATCGTACAAAATATAAACATCAGTTGTATATTAATGTCGGAAGGTAAAGATGTCGTTAAAAGCCTACGTGTAAAAATATAGCTGCCTTGAGAAAACAATCTGACGGAGTTAAAAAGAAAGTAGACAAAGCGACCGCGCGATCGCTTGTCGGTCAACTCGCAATTGAATAAGGGTGAAAAATTCTACGAAAAGAAAAAAAGAGAGAAACTGCATGTGCGCTACGTGCGAACCTAACGTGACATCGCAAGGATTCTCGACCAACTTAAGAATTACTAGCTCAATACGATGAACTGTACATTTACGATTACCGATACCATAGTAGATACACGCGCGTAAATTCAATTATGTGTACAATTAAATTATTTACAGCGTTAATAGATCTCTGTTTACTTCTACATCAAGTAAATTATTCGACATCGGCTGGAGTGGACAAAACCATGAGATACGCACACTCGTATTCACTCGCGCATGACGTGAACCAAACATTTACGGTATACATAGGGGAAGTAATACTAATATATACTCTATCACCGCTACGTATTTATGTATCATGCATGTAGCTAATCATTTCTCCAAAAGATCATAAACAATTGTACACTGCCAATAAGTGACATAAACAAAATGTTATATACAAATTCGGTTTACACGCTTATTAGCCAATTTTATCACATTAGTTTGTAACCAAGAATTTTCCTCTCTCCATATGCAGTTGCCATAAATATCAAATGAGTGTAATTAATTGTCAAGGATGAAGAGATCAGATTTTACCTCTCTATTTATTTAATTCTGCGGATAAGAGTTCATTAGAATTCAACCTATTGACACTAACCTTTATACGTATATGGCAGCCTTGTAACTACACTTTTAAAATTTCGCGCATTTATCTTGGCAATTAATTCGTCTGGATTGTTATTACCCGTTTTATACTACAACATCAATCGTTAACTAAATACTTAGGCCCTTTTTGTTGCTGTAGGTATCACTAAATACTATAAATCTTGATATTACACATGTGCGTATGCATATCAAGGATGACGTTTAAAAGTTGTAACTGATATGCGTATACTAGCTATTATTACAAAAAAAAATCGTAAAGCATAATTTTGCCAAGTAATAAACTGAAGAGGGATAAAAAAGCGACTTGATTCATTCTTTAAGACGAGGCACGCAAATTGCTAAATTATTATATGGCAACATCTCTCACACTGTTATATTTAAAAGTTGTGTCGATACATGTTAAACGTTAGAAAGAAATATAAGAGAAATACAGTGTGCTTTCAACGGCGACAAAATTAACTGAATCTGATTTTCCCTTTTGTTCTACGGAATGCATCATGTAAAGAGTTAGTGTTCAATTTTGAAGAGGTCGGATTGAGATTTGTCAATTGAAAGATTTTGCCTACAACTACGATAAATTATCGAGTTAAATCGAATTTGTATTTAATTTCTCTTTTATGTTATATACTTCATATTTAATTTACCTAATCGCCAGGTAAACCATGTGAGCTGAAAGCTTGGAGACCTATTAACAAGTTGCCAACAAAAAGTGTTTTCTCTATCATCATATACAATAGTATATGTAACAGTTGCGCTCAGTCGTACCATGTGTCTCGATACGCGCAAACCAAAGCGCGAACACGAGACTACAATGGCCCTACATTAATCAACGTAATTGGTGTTCATCCTTGTGTAATCAACAGTGCTCTGTTGATGCTCGAAAATTCGCTTACCTACATAAAGCTAGAGAAATGGACGTTCACATACATCTAAATAAATTAAAAAGGAAAAAAAAAGAACACGTACTACTTTATACAATTCGCTAGCAAAGGCAAATAAATAAATTGTTCTTAAATGTACCTAGAACAGTTGAAGATCGGGGTTTCTTTCATTAATATTAATGATAAATGTCGTTACAGTTAAGTATAGATTGCATATCCTCATAGCAAATACGTTATATCGACTTGTAGCAAACGGAAAGACTGTTAAAATGCACCGGGATAGAGATTGAGTTTACCTAACATATCGAAAATTTTCCTCCAGTGGGTCCGAGTTTTGACATTTCGTTCTCTGATTGATGCTCGCAAATCACTTTACGTTACATAACGCGTTACGTTATATTGAATGTGTTTAATGTGGAGTTCGCAGTTCTACATACTAAAATTTTCACGAGGTTTAATAATATAATAAGACACAACCTCACAGAGGCTGTCGAATGGGATAGACTCGCTAACCCTTTCACCGCTCTTAGAGCGTTGTAGAGGAATTTCTCATCTTTTTGTTCCGCAAAAAAAGTATATACCTACATAAATATAAACTCCCTAACTTCACTGTTTCAGCCTTTCGAGACGCAGGCAGTGAAAGGGTTAGGTATATTCTAGTTTTGCGGCTGTGCCTTCTTGCCACCACGTGGCTTGATGCTTTCAGAAATCTGCCACATCGCCTCCTCACAGAGGAAATCACTGAAGTTGTTGAAAAACGTCATAATGCGTTCGTGTTTCTTGAAAGAGTACGTGCTGTAAAGCAATAATCACGTGCAATGAATAATTACAGTATTAAAATTCATTAAGAATCTTGTGAAACTTACCCTTTCTTAAATCTTTTCATATTTTCAACAATATTAAATTGTTGCCATCTCTTGGAGAAATTTATAGTGCCATCTGGTAATAAATCGCTATTTCCAATATGCACAAATGTAAGATCTTGCAGAACAAGTCCGCTGAAACGAATCAAGTGCACGAACAGATACATTTTTGACGATCAAAGAAATAGATAAAATTTCGTGTTTCTAAGTAACAACAATACTTGTACTCTTACATGTAAGGAATACACGGTGGTTGTGTTTCTGCTAGAGCTTGCCTATAAGCTCGGAAGCTGCTAGAGCTATCGATGAGTGCACAATATTCCTTGAGACCTTCCGTAATGTGCTTTTGCCATTCAAGTCTCCTAATAGGTGCACTATCCAATGCAGATAGTAACGCGAGATAGCTGTTGAAATTATTTATCTTCCTAAGATGCTTCATTATCTTGATGAACTTTACGACATATTTCTCCCTATCTTTCGCCTCATTTTCTAATCGATGTTCTAATATCCTAGATCGCGCCCAGTATGACATTTTATTAAAATGTTCAGTAAATCTCGTGAGATTTGGACTTCTCTCTTCGTTCTGTTCTTGCGCCCAAATCAACACTTCCGGAATTTCTATCTTCATAAACAAATCGGCATCGAGTAATGTCATTTGTTCTGCAATCTGTTCGCTTTTAAAATCTAATAGGGAAGCTTGTTTCGTTGTTACACTTAGAGATGAGAGAATTGGTTGTGCTGCTTGTAATTGTTTCATAGTGTGCTTCTCTAAAATTTTAACTCGCAACGCTTTGGCCATAGTGAGATCTCCGCTGCACACCAATTGCTGTACAAATTCCATTAAGGTTTGCAGAAGAACATCGTCAAGATCAGATATTCTGTAAAATAGTGAATTATATTGTAAGTCGTAATCAAACCTTAAGTATATAACAGAGAACCTACTTACGTTAAATCACTAACGACTCTAACAAGTAAAGAAAATGCTTCACGCGCGGCTCTTTGTTTGACAACATCTGGAGAACATGAAAATCGTTGGTGACGTCTATGTAATTTACGAATTAATTCTAATGGTTGCATGAAGGTTCTGTACGTTGTTAAAAAGGCTTCTTGGTACAGGAAATCTGCAAAAGATGCATCGTTTTTATTAAAGTTTAATTCACATACATTTACCTATAGTCTTTTATCATTAATATTTATTTTCATGCAATATTGTATTTTAAATATTTCATCAGTTACCTGATTCTTTTTCATCTATGCAGCGTAGAAAGATAAATTACGATATAATAAATAATGTTCACAAATTTACGTTTAATGAATTAAGAAAAAGTATATACCATGTTTATTTGCTTTTGTCGCATGAATTAATAATGCATCTGGATGTCCACCACGTATATCTGGACCCTCTTCGTCTGGTTTTTTAAGTACTATGTATTTATTAATATCTAATTCATCTAAAATGCTATCATCTTGATCGATATCCCTTAATTCAAGAGTATTTTCATCAACTGATATGGAAGAAAGTGCGTTACTAGCAGGTCTAGACGATGGTAACACTGTGTCCATAATAACATTATTATTCTGAAGAAAACAACGATTACAATCATATTAGTGCTTAATAGTTATTGGTCGTAGTTTCATAATAATAATGCAATAGTGAAAGTATTACATTAATGTTTACCAATTTTACTGGAGTGGAAGGTGTAACATCTTTCTTTTCATGCGCGTATGCTGGCTCCTCTGTTTTCACAGGTGTTGACGTTACGATAGGATCCGAGTTATGAATACTCTGCATGCTAATAGTGGGTTTTGGTGATATTGGTGGAGGTGTACTGTTTGATTTAATGGAACGAGATCTCTTTGGTGGTAATGCCGGGGGCAGACTAGATTTATTTGTTGTATCTACTGAGCTCGGTGTCGTGGTCACAGAGAGGCTGGAAAAAAGTACTCGTATGACAATTCTATCTTCTTTAACAATGTTACCTGCCAAAATTTGTACAGTAAAACTTTTATTATCTGTAAAGCAAATAAAGATAACAAAAAATGTATAACTTATATAAAAATACCTTGAGCTGTCGTGTAGAGCAGTCACGGTATGCGCCATAAAGGAACACGATTGGGTTGTGGTAAGGGACATCTCGTGCTGCTGCCATTCCGCTTGCATCGAATTGTAGGCTGCTACAGAATGACGGGTACCAAGACCAGAGATGAAATCGTTATTACTGTGCGAGCAGTTTCCGAACATCTCCATGTACGCCATAACTGAAATACATTGCAAGCGAATGGATTAACGTCCACTTCGAATAAGAAGAATAACTTTTGTTATTATGAATTACTCTATAAAAACTGAAATTTTTTTTAATGGCGTATAATAACCGATGAATGCAAGCACGATGTGTACCGCAATAAAATGTTAAAGCACATGGTGTGTGTGGATTGCAATGAAAACACTGATGCACGAGCAAATCTTGTGTAATTGTTATTTCGATAAGCCACGTGTAAAAATGAAAAAGTTAAACTCACTGGTGTGAGAGTGGAACCTTTTAAACAACATCTTACATATCGTAAATATTACACTTCAACAATTTGCGCAACTATTGCGCAATGAAAACGGGTGCTCTAGCAATTGACTTAATCAAAACTGTTATATAAGTTAATGAGGCTTCACATTAACAATTCTTATACTTTTTCAGTATTCACTATATTTTCCAACTTTAAGTCCACTTATCTTGACATAAAGACGGAAACTAAGCTTTAACTCTGTTCGACAGCTGACGAAGCTGTAACTATTAACTGACTAATAGTGTGAAAGGTCAAATTAATTAGAAAAAGATTACGACGCCCACATACATTCGCCTGAATTGCCTTTCATGTATTTGTATTTGAATTGTATAAAACTCGTAGAATTTTTTATATTTTAAATTAAAAAAAATATATGTGTGTTCCTAAATTACGTAATAAAAATGTGCTATAGTTTTTAATATATAATAAAATTTTAGACAAGTAGATTTAATGTAACATCAGATTGCAACATGATATATATCATCAAATATTTTTTTATTAGTATAATATCCAGCATCATAGCTAAACCTCATAGCATTATTGTATCTATGATGCAAATTAAAAAAAAGCCACAAATAAGCTGCGATTATTAATAAAAATTCAAGCTCAATATCAAACATTGTCATATTGTAAAAATATCAGAGATAAAGGGATAAAAAAAAATAGAATAACAGTAAACATGCCGCAAGAGAAGCCTGGAATTAAAATCTGATATAAATGTGTGAAACATAGGATATTAACTTAGCATGAAAGTGTTTGCCGGGGGGGTAGTTGAATTGTGTGGGCAGGATCCCACTTACCAGAATATGCCACTGATTGGAACACTGGGGGATACAAAACATTGCATCAGTTTTAACCTACTACGAAAAAGTAGTTTGGAATGTCTACTATATTATTTTATTATTTGCGTGTCGATAAATTGTATTATTTAAACATAAAGAACATTAGAATTATTTTGCAACCTTATTGTACTAGCTCGTAAGGAATATCTGTCAATGTGGTATTTCTCAAAATTCGTGTGTCTTAAAATTGACAGTGGAAAAGTAAAGCAAGTATTCCGCTGGTTTCCTTTATCCCATTGCCGATATTAATGGTTGAAGATAATTAATAATTAAGATTACTTACTATGCCGCTTCTTTAAAGGCAGAGGAGGTGGTTTGTTGGCATCTGAACCATCTCCGTTACTAGTAGTGTGCAAAGTACAGGTGGATAAATGCTCATTTTCTGGTACATTGTCATACTGCGACGGTTGTCGTTCTTTTCTTCGCTTGGATCGCTTCTCCGGTAATGCTGGCGGTGCTCCGTTAGAATCGGATGGAACTATCGATTCCGTTTCCTAAATATACCATAGATGCATTAAACGATTAAATTGTAAACAATTTCGAGTGCATCAAGAGATAAGTCAGAGTAAAAATAAAACAGAAACATAAAACATAACAACACCCACATTTACCAGTTTCTCTAATAAAGCTGGGTCCCCATTTCCAGACACGTTAGTCGTGCTAATAGTACTTTTCGAACTAGACGTCGTCTTCTGTGTAAAAATAGAGCCGTTACTGTCCGAGGGTAATTTGGTCTGCGAAAACGACTGTTGCTGTGCACTAAACGATTGAGAATTATAACTAATGCTGCTCTGCTGCGACGATCTCTTGGATGTCATACTGGACGCAGTGGTATAACTTTGGGATGAACTTCGTTGAGAATGCATGGAAACAAAGCCTGATTCCTGCGTCTGAGTAGACAATCGTTCCATCTTTCCTTCTATACCTAAAACAAAATTAATTCAAAACTATAATAAGATTACTCGGAATCTAAAACAGAAAATAATCATAAACAGATACACAAAATTTATCAAGTTTTCCTTACGAAACAACATTTTAACACTTTCCCAACTAAAATTAGATCTACGTGACATTTTACAAAGTATGATAAAACTACGATATGATGCGAAAAAGAAAAGAATAAGATTTCGCTTGATCTCGCTGTGCTTTGGGCGAAGATCTACAAGATACTGTTTATTCACGCGACTGGAAGGTCGATGCCACCTACGCAACTTGTTCCACTAACTATTTCAAGAATTCTTGCGTAATTTTAGCTCTCGCATTTTTCCTTTCCTTTACTAGTGTTTATAAATAATGAATGAGTCTTTTGTAAAATGCATTATGAAACCGAATAAATAAAGCAGTATACAATAATTTTAAATATTAATTTGTTACAGAAACAAATTCTTTACTTGTTATTGCATATAAGTTTAATTAATAATTATAATACATATAATTTTAATTATTAGTCGACCATTATTATCAATTATTGTCACAATTAAATTATTAATTCTTATAGTAAAAAAAATTACACACCAGTAAATGGATTAAGCATTTCTTGAGGTGTTTGTTGGCCTAGCAACATAGTACTTGGTATATTAGTTTCAGAACCATCCCAGCAATTACAGTTCGAAGTACCATTAACTTGCATGCCTACAATAATACAGAATATACATTACTTCGAAATATAAAAATCTGCAGTCTAATACCATCATAACGAATATTGAAAAAAAAACACATGGACAAGCTCAGTTTTATGTTAAAAATATATACGACAATAATATACGCTCTTCCTAGGGAATACTAATAATAGCTTTTATTTAATAAAAATGGCGTGAAAATTAATTATCTCACTATGAGCCACAGTACACTACGTATCCAACATTATACAAAACTCCTGAAATACCTTCACGGTTTATACTTAGCTTCATATACTTTACGCATTTATTAATGACTACGGTATATAAAGCGTGAGAAAATCTCGGATCCATAATAATCGCGGATTTCTTTTTTCAGTATTCATAAAATACTTAATCCCAATCGCGGATAATAGAAACTCGTTTGTACTCGAATAAACGCTCGGTTGTAGACTGACGTTGCGAACCAAAGCAAGTGGAACACCAAACTAATCTGCTGAGTAAGCGTTGACCATGATCCATTCATCATACGCATATGGAAATGTATTTACGACAATCTCATGAGTGCCATTCCAGACATACGCGTTATCCGCGGAAATGAAAACTAAAGTACATATAATCGCAAAATGTTTCCAATTCAGTAAATAACAGTGATATCACATGTGTGCATTCTCAAGAATGCTTTTTTATATCTCATAATATAACATAATATTTTGTTATTATATTGTGCACGCTAAAGATTATTTGGTAACGATTCAAAATGATATTTAAATGTTATAAAAAATAAAGGTTTGGCGTAGAATAACCAAACGACGAATATACATATGTAAGATTTCAGTATAAATTATCCAAGCGTTACCTTGGATAGTAGCCATGAGACTTAGGTCCATACTGTCATTCAAAGATTCGTCATTTGGTCCCATTATAGCTCGAATCTCGTCCTCGTCTCGGGAATGATTCAGAGCCGAATCCAAACTACCGGCCGATGCGCTCAGAAGAGACGACGAATCCTCCGGGGATCGACTTCGGAGGGATACCCTATCAAGACTAGATGCCAGAAGACCGTCCGACTCGTCGTGGAGCTGTTGGGTCCTCGTCCTTCTCTTCGGCGGTAACGGAGGAGGTGTGCCAGAAGAGCTGTTTTCCTCCGACAAACATATATTTGTTCTACAAGGGATCGAGCGTTTCTGTGTTGAACTTCCGACGACAAGTGATTTATTATACTTGTTCGTAAATCGAAACGAGTGTTACCTGTCAGGCAGCGGGGGTTTCGGGGGTGGACTAGAATCCCGTAAAATCGACTCGGAGCTATGCGAGCTGCGAACCAAGCTACTACTCGCTGCCGTTTGCTCCAGGATCTGCCGTTCTCTCGGTGTCAAAGGTATATCCGGCAGAGAATTTCTTTGCGTTATTTCGGATCCGTACCCAGAAGTTCTGTAATTTACACTGCGTGTTACTGGATTTAGCTTATTTTCGAGTCGAGTCTTGTATCGATATCACTCAAATAATTCACTCTCGAGCCATTCGATTACTTCTACATAAAATATCAAGAAAAATTATTCACGAAATCTAGTTTCAATATTAATATGTGCCTTATAGTGTTTGTAAAAGTATTTAATATCAAATAATAATGAATACTCAATCATATATTGTATATATATCTTCTGATATCGTATATCAAACCATATTAAGGTTTCATAATTACATATTAATCATCGTTAATGTTACAATTCGATATTATTTCATATTATTTCCCCCGTCCTATTGCAAATGCATTCATAAATTTTGTATCTACTCTTATGTCCAACATACTATCTGTATTTTGTCGACATGGATTCCTTCTTTTTGCTATTTCGCGATATACTAAAAGTTCATTCACTATCACTACAAGTTACCTATTATTATTTGTAGCAGACGGAGGTTTCTGCTTGTTAGCGATTTTCTCATGCGCCAGAGCTACTAGATTTTTCACCGCTTCCTCGACCAGTCCAATAACGTGCGTCACGTTTTCGGTGTCCAAGGCGGAAGATTGATCACCATGCAGCAATACATCGTCGCAGAGTTTCAGCAATTGCGCTAACGCTTGGTACACTTGATTCGTGGCAGATCCCAACGTGGAGCTGCAAAAGTCCATCAGAAAATAAGATCAGGAAAGTGTCGAGATATAAATCGACTCTACCGCAATTTAAATCTAAATGCGGTAGTTTTTACCATAAAGTTAGAATGACGTTCACTATTAAACGAGCCAATTCCACATACCAAACGCAAAAGCAATTTAACGAAATGGACAAAACGACAAAAAAATAGCATAAGCTTTTTAGATATTGTCCTACAAGTCAATTACTAGATGATAAAAGAATTTTACACGCAGGACAATCACCTGTTCTCGTAGAGCAGGTAGGATTTCAACGCGTTGTGTATCGTGGTAACGGTATCAAGAACGATCGTGCCGTTTCCGGGCAGCATCTCGAGCTTCTTCTTGGACACGACATCCCGGAAGTGGAGCAGTGCCAGCTGCACCTGCCGTACGTGGATATGCAGATCGCGCAGGGGATTCTTGTCCAGAGTGGTGCCAGAGTCGTTGGAGCCCGGGGCGTTCTTGTCCCGCGGCGTGCGCGGTGACGAGGGCGAGGCGGCCCTCGTGGCCGCCCCGCTGCCTCCGCCGCCACCGCCGCCGCTGCCGCTACCAGGAGAACGCATGTGGGAGAGCTTCTCCAGAAAGTCCTCCTTGAAGGAGCGCGCACGACGCGCTAGTTTGCCGCCGCGCGCCTTCCCACCGAAGCGCTCCTCGACTTCTGCAACAAGAAACAGCTTCATTTCAGTACTGAAGAGTTCGAAAATCACTTTGACTTTTACCGCTGTGAAGTTGGCACCTCATGTCTCAAAAAATCATTTTTTTTTCAGTTCTGAATGCACCCCGAAGAGTTCTAGAGTTCCTTATCAATTTTAAAAATCGTTCTGGCGAATTACCCTAAAAAAGTTAAATTTGAAACTTGGGGATGCTAACTTCACAAAATGAAATCTCGAAATCAGCGATAACACTAAAAGTATTGGAAATATTTAATTTTGCCATTAGGATTTCCTTTAGAACTCTTGAGGGGCTACCCAGAACTCCCAATAGAACTGCTAGAACTGTTAAAAAATTTTCCTCCTTCGGGACTTGGAAATTTTTCGAAATTTTTTTCATAATCTCGTTACTTAGTCACCGACGCATTTCGTTATCTCCTTTTTTTATTTCACTCGGTTTTAATTTTGTATTCCTAGAGAAATTAATAAGATTGTGGAAAATTTTTAAGACGGGAACTTGAGAGCTTTTCCACAAAAATTTCCTCCAGGAATCAAACATTCTTTTAGAATTTCTCGACAATACCTCCAGAATTTTATCGGAAAATGTCAAAGTTCAAACATCATCAGTGAAGTTCATACTTTATTTGAAAAAAAAAACGAAAGTTTTATTAACAATTTCTAATAGATTTTAGACATAGTTCCATTGGTTCGGATAGAAAAAGATGACGTTTGATAACGCTGTGCTAACTTCCTAAGAGATAGAAAAACATTATATGTCATAATGATGTGCTAACTTCCTAAAGATAGTTAACGGAAGAAACTATTGTTCAGATGTATTAAAATGATCAAGAACTATGTGAGAACTATCCAAAGCCGTGAAATTATTTACGGAACTATTTCTGCAAAACTATTGCGGGTGCAAATAAAACTGTTAATAAAACTTTCGGTTGTTAAAAATGCAGTACCAATTTTACACTCCCAGTTGAAATCGATTCTGACTAAGGAGAATTGATAAGAAATTATTTCATTTTAACATCAGAAAATCATCTTAATTAGTCAGAGAATTGCTTAATTTCTTATGTACACATATCTCATCAGCTTTTTTACGGAAATCAAACATTTCTTTAAGACTTCGATTTTTTATCTGCAAAACTCAAAAGGCTCAAATTTCCGTTATAAAAACGTGAAATAAATATTCCGTATTTTTTAATTTATATTTTTTAATTATATTTAAACGTCAGGATATTTTTTAACATACATAAAGAATATATTAGAATTCTTTGGAAAATAGACAGAATCGTATCAATTTGAGATTCTAAAAATAGCTTGCTAATATTACGGAGTACCATTTATTTTGGCTGTAATTTAATGTAGTAGACACATATCATCGCTTGAAAATCATTTCATACGAAAGCGATATCTTTTATGACGATAATATTCCATATCTCTATTTAATGCGTGATTCGTATCATCCCGGAGGTATATTTGATCCAGAGATAAAATATTAAAATATTTATGAGACCGTTTTCCCTCTATTTACTCTACTCTGCTTTCGAAATATAATACGCGCATGAGCTTTTTCCATAAGATTAAACGTATTAGCGAATCGGATTAAAATCTTGCAAACTTTTTCACCGATTATAACTTGGCAATCTAGCGAGCTTTCAAAGCTCTTTAAAACCTTTCACGATAACTTTTATGTTACATACGGAGATTTCTTTTATCCATTTGTTACGGAAAATCTCCAAAAATTCGACGAATTTCTAGTGTAACAAATATTAGAGAATATTCTCATTTTATTATAAAGTAATAATAGAATCATGATACTTTAAGAAAATAATTTTACATAAATTTAATCTATAACTCCTTTTAAAACATTTTATCAATTTATATGTACCTTTATAATAATTCTCCTTTAATATGTGCATCATATTTGTTATTTCCATCATTTACTGTTATTAAACTTTATTCAATTAAATTATCATCACGAGCATGTGAATTATTATTATTATTATAAGCTTTATTAATAGATGTAATTATAGATTAATTTATTTATGTTACTTGTACAGTAATATTATATGTAAACTTATATAATATTATAAATAAAATAATTAATACACTTATAAAATCTTAACACATATTGCTTCTTAACTAAAACTATTAATATTTCTCTAATATTTCTTATTGACGAATTTACAGCCGAGAGATATACCGCTTTGTGCCCCGTTTTTATCGCTGTTCGAACTTTCTCGCGCCCGACGCTCTTTTCCCAACAACCTCGAGTAAAGAGATTTGTCACAGAGCGAGAGGCATCACGCACATGACAACCGTATTGCAGGATCATTTATTGCATCTCGATCGAGAACTGCGAACGAAGTTGGCACGAACGACACGCGGATAAAAGCAGTCCCTTTCTCGCGATGCCTGCCACGGTGGGCGGACAATATTTTTCTGGACGCACGCGGGAGGTCCATGCAGCTCTCGTGGACCTCGTCGCGATTCGCAGTTATACTGTCAACCCGTTGCACACGTGCGCGAGACGAACGAGCGGCTGCATACCGCCAGGCGCGGCGGCGGCGAGTTCGCCTGCCTTTTTCCCCGTGGTGCTAATGCCAGCCGTGCACTTGAATTAAAACGGCTGCGGTGCACCGGTGCGCCGGACGTGCCATGCGTCTGCGGCGTTATAGCCAGGTCCTAAGTACCTGGGAAACCTTTCTTCCCCCGGGCCTCGCCGGCAAGAGCGAAGAGCAACTTGCTTTTCTCACCAGGCGTTGCGTCCGTGAATCGGCAATCAATAATGCTCCCTCGTGTCGAAGCTTTTAATTCTCCTTCAGAGTCCACTTAGCGATTAATTAACTTGACGACAGCCTAAAGCTACAACGTTATAGTAATAACGCGTCGAATGTGAGGAGGTAGAGAAGTATCTCGTTCCCACAAGACGTCTGCTTGTCTTTGTGTCCACTTTGTATCCACTCAATATCGGCACGTTAAGGACCTGAGCAAACTGGCTGTCTTATACTCCTAAGATAATGTTTTGTGTTTCAAATCTTTGTCTTGAAGAATGCAAGACAGCTATTCTGCTCAGGCCCTAAGTCGACTTTAAGACTGATTGCAAAGAACAATCTGTAAACGCTTGAGACTGTCTTGGG